CACAGGGTGAGAGGTGGTAGCAGGTGGTTGCATTGAGCACATGGAAGGCCTGTGAGGGCCACATATGCAGGGTGCAGGGTACCCACAGTGTGTCACCAGGCCAAATTTTCTGAACAATCCTGTTGGGGCTATTTCTCTCAGCAACTCAGAGCACCCTCTGCAAGGTACCCGACACTCACCTGTGATTGTGGGAGGCGATGGGCAAAAGTCCAGGCAGCTTGTCAGCCATTACCCATCTTCCCCCCCCCCCAAGGCTAAGCTCCCAGGCTTCTAAGGAACATGAACATGGACTCTCCTTCCTTGGAAGTTTTTAAGCAGAGGTTGGTTGACCTCTGTCATGTGTTATTTAGTTGATGATTCCTGCATCACAGTGGGATGGAATAGATGATCCTCATGATCATTTCCAACTCTGCAGTTCTATGATTCTATGAAATCTGATGGGAGAAATCCCATTCCTGCATCCAAATTACATTTCTTGGCCAGGCCATTTCTGTACCAGAAGGACTGAACACAAAGACTTGACTATAGATGGCAAGGGAAGATGAGGCACTGAGAGAGAGAAAGGACATTCTCCCAAATTAAAATTTGCTAGGAGGAAGGGTGGGGGGGGGAGCCTCTCTGCAGAAGGGGGCAGGTTGTCTCAAAGTTACTAATGCAATTGGTTCTGCATGTTTACGTGTTGTCTAGCAGTTAACATTGTCCATTGAGTGTGCAAAGGAAGTACTTCTTTAAATGTGCATATGACATGGATCATTGACCTTCGACAGTGGGACGGTGGAAGCAACTGCCCATTTGTCTAGAAAATGTTAAGATCACATTAGACAGTTTTACATTCTAGCAGCAGTCCATTATTATCAATCACTGGGCAATTCAAGTCTTTCTGCAGTAGGTTCTCACCACCAGTTCCTTTTAGAAAGCAAATATAGGAAAGGTGAAGGACATGAGACTATAATAATGTTTTTATTTTGTGTGCTATGTTTAAACATCTTTATACTTTTGAGCATTCTCAGTCACAAAACAGCTGCAATCCTGAATCTGCAGACGACTTGGTTGCGGAGAAATTATGACCAGCTAAGCCTATTGGCCATTATCCCAAGAAAAGTGTCCGAAGTTACAGCTCACAGTAAAGGCTAAAGGAGGCTGCCAAATGGCAATGCATTTCTACTCTATAGTGTTTGACCTTATAGACTAGATTGGAATCAGTCAGGAAACAAAGCATTTGGGGGTTGGGGGATCCCAGGGGGGACTCTAAGCTGTTAACAGGAAGGTCTATGCTTCACATTTTGGGAAGGTAGAATATTTTACTGATGTTGCGGGGGGATGTTATGGATATAGCACACCCGAGAAGTGATATGATTCACTGGGCATGTGCCGTACACACAAAGTTTGGGACCAACTTTGTGTGTACGATAGCTTGGTTCTTGACCAAACTCCAAAGACAGTCAATTCCCCCACCAGATCTTTTCCCACCCTGCTCCCACTATCACAGTGGTACTTACCGTAATTCTCTGGCTTCTGCCTTTGCATGTTGGGTCTAGCTCTTCCTGTACGGTTTGAGGGCAAGGTGAGAGAGGGCAGGAAAACAGGGTAAGAGGGAGAGGAAGCTATCAGTAACACTGAGTCTCCCAGTTGCTCATGCTGACCAGCAAGCCAGTCTGATCCAGAAGCATTTTATAAGACTCAATGGTATATCATCTGCTCTGCTCAGGCCTGACTTATTGGTACAAGGAGGCTTAATTGAATGGTATCACTCAAGTTCATTCCTTTGCCCACCACAGCTGTATGATTCTGGCCCATGAGTTCAAGCCTCACTGGAGACTCCTTAATTCACCCATTCAAGACTTGCCATGGGCTCACTGCACTACTGTGCGTCTTTGCCATTGTGGGTACTTCCTCACAGATTTTGAACTCAGGTAAGGATACCCAAGAACAAAATAATATACACACAGCTCATCAATGGCTTGTGTGTGTGTGTGTGTGTGTGGTAGTCCCCTTTGAAATATATGGGAGCTGGTGCAACAATATTTACATCTGTGTCAAGATGTTGTACACATTAATACCTATGGGACAGCTTAAATAATACATTGCATGTATTTTGGAAACAGGGTGCTGGAACAGAGAGAAATAGCACATATTGATGTGTTCAATCTTATAACCATATAAATCATCTGTTTATTGCCATTTGCACACCCACGGGTGTAAATGAAATTTAGCATGACATGGTAGTATATCGATCAAAAAACCAGAGGTAATGCAACAGGTAATGCAGTGTAAAAGAAATGTTAGAAACCAGGAAAGAAGTGCTAGCATGATAGCCAAGAAACCTAATGCAAAAACCCAGGAATTATTCATATGGATTTTTCATCTGTTCACAATGTATGTCCAAACACTTTCAGGAATAAAAAGAAAGAACTTTTAGTCTGACAATTACTTATGTAGTCCTGTTTCTTCAAAGATCATCAACAAAAGATCGTCAACAGAAAAAGCTAGCAAATCTTCAGACCGTCAGTGTTTCTTCCTCGCTAGAAAAACAATTGAGGAGATTAATTAAGTAATAAACCTTCCCATAATCACCACTATAAACATGAGTAATGACAGACCCAACTTCTGATTTCACCTCTGCACTCCACATCTCGGCTTCATTATCTCTCCCTCCCCCACCCCCCAACCTGACTTCAGTCAGGTTGCATTTCCCAGCTCTTCACCTTCTCCTCTGGAGCCCTGGATAAAATTCTCCATTTTAATCTAGTTTTTAAAATCACCTGAAGACTTCAGTAATTTTGAGCGATACCCACTACATTAGCAGTGCACTCCTCCTATGCATGTCCACTCAGCAGTAAATCCCATTAAATTCACGGAGATTTATTTCCTCAGTGCTGCAATCCTACACTCACTCACTTGGGAGCAGGGGTGTTGCTGGAAGTGCTGTGCCAAAAATTCATTCTGTGTCCCCCCCCCAACTATTCCCCAGCAATTAATTCAGCAAGTAATTGCATGTGAATATTATCTAGCTGAAATTTTGTATAAATTCTCATGAGTGTGAGGGTTTTCGGGTTTTGTTTATTTTAACCTTTAGCTTAATTTTAAGGTGACCAAGTTGTGTTTGTGAATGTCTTTTTGTTCCTTCTACAAATAAAGTCTCCAATGGGCAGTACCCTACAGCCTTCTTGGGTGCCTGCAGTTCCTGAAAACCCCATGACAACCTCAGCTGGGCTTTCTTAGCAGCATGGGAGGATTGGGAGGCTACTTATACTGTGCCTAATGAGTGCAGCGAACTCAGACGCTCAGTAGTCAGCCTCTCCCCCCCCCCCAGCTTCCTGTTCTTAGGGGAAGGCACCACAAGTTAACTTCTCCCATGGAGCTTTTTAGATCAGTAGGTGTAGGCAGCCAGGGAGGCTGCAGAGTGCTGGAGAAAACTTTAATGGGGTGGGAAACACATAGACCACAACCTCAAACCTGCACCCATCAAAATTCTAAAGAAATTTTAAAGTGCCCAGGGATTGAGACTGAAAAATGGAAGCATGTTTTCCAGGAGAAGAAAAGTTTTGAGAAGCTGGAGAATTGGTTTTGTCAACGGCACTTGAAGGATTTCAAACACAGGACCATTACACAAATTTGCATAAAGGTATAGGCTGTCTCACAACTACTTAAGATGATGGGCAGCTCTGGTCTTTTTTCACTGGTCTTCCTCTCCAGTGCTACAAAAAGTAATTTTTGACCTCCCTCTACCAAATACTACAAGGCTCTGATGCTAAGCTATGCGACAGCCTGTGACCTGCACATATCTAATGATTATGTTTATCCATGGTACACATATTCTATGTTTGTTTTTGGACAATGGGAGTTCTTTTTTGGTCTGTTGTGGTTGTGGCTAATCCCTAGTTCAGGGGCCTTATCTGACTTCTAAGCATTTTTTCTCTCCCACCCCTCAAGTCCAAGTTATTTAAACAGGAAAAAAAGTTTAAGCACATTTTCTGGGGCGGTTGGAACCCAGTGCCCTTCTGTGCTTGCAAATCTCTCCCTCTCTGTTCATCAGATTGATTTGGACAGATCAGCCTGGCTGGTGTGAGGCGAGGGGGCAAGGGGGTGGACAGTAGTTTGGGTGTGTCTCTGCTGGTGTGAGTCCTATATAGGGAAGGGGGGAGAAACTGTATTTAAAGGCATTTTCACTTTCTGAAACAAAAGAAGAACTGAACAACATTATAACCGAAACCCAGCTACCCTTGCAAAATTGCACTTCTCTAAATTTTGCAATTCATTTCTCAGCTAAGTAATGTGTTGAAAAAGCATATACATGGGTATAAAAAAAAACATACAAAAAGCATTCTTTTAGGAGAAATTGCTTTGCAAAAACATGTATATTAGGCAAAATCGCATACAAGTTTATTTGGAAAAATGCACCTTTAAAATGTTGGTGAATTTCCATGGGGATTTTTTTCTTTCTTTCGAAAATGACACACAAATGACACACATTTGTGAAAATGTGGAGAGCTAAGTTTTTAACTGGAAAAATGGGAAACAAGGAGAATTGAAATTGACAGGTCTGTCTATCCCTACCTCTAGCGCATCAAAACTTTTCAAAGGTGTGGTATATCGGTCCTGCTGATAAGATTCTGTATGCATAATGCATACATAAAAGTGCAACGCTTGTCTCAGATTACAAAGGAGAGCTGCAGTTTTATGCATGCGTGTGTAATCTTTAAATATTTGCATTATATAAAGGGCCTGTATATCAACAAAGAGATCAACCTGGAGAGAGTGGCTCTTTATTTCGTCAGGAAGAGCCGTTTTTTTAGCAGGCTTCATTTCCACTGAATAAACCAGCAGGTGATCTCTTATGCATCTGTTTTCCCTTGATCTTACTGTGTGAGCGACACTTGCTTTACACTAGCATTAACTGTCAAAATATTATTTAGCTACTGTATGCCTTCCAGAGCAAGCTTTATTAATAAAAAAAAGTAAAGGAAATGTAGTGATAATTGAATCTCTTTATAGTCACCATGTAACAGAAAGGGAGGAAGATGGTTTCTGACCTTAGGGGAAAACATCTGGATTTCCTCTTTGCCCCCAAGATCATGTCCTCTCCCTTACACTATAATCACTTTGATTCACAATACCTCAGAGGGAGATAAAATTTGCAATGTGTGCATATGATCACAGAAATGCAACAGCATTCCTCCATTTCTGTCTTCCTTCCTTCTTCTTCTTTTTGAATCCCTACAGGAATCACATTAAATAAATATATAGCAAGCTGCAGTGTCACAACAAGTAGATGTACAATTATGAGGCCTAATACCCAAAGGAAATCAACCCGAGACTTATTAATATCCAGACCCTACAAAAGACAACTGTCAGACAATTGGTCAACAAGGTACATCGTATCTGTTAGATACTGACTAACCCATTATGATCTTTATGGAGTGTCCTTTTGGGGTCTAGATCTTCAAATATGAGTTGGAAGACCCTTTCCTTTTATTAGTTGCTAAGCTCTTTATACTTTTACCATATTGCAGCAGGTTAGAAGTCTGAGCTTTATTGTCTTATGTTATTGAAAATCCAGATTCCCTCAGCCTTCTCCCTCAGGTCAAGATTTGTCTGCGAATACATTCTCATTTCTCCATGTACAAAGGCTGTCTGGAGAGAGGCAGAAAAAGATTATGACTGTAATATACTTAAATCCAATTTATTTGCCTGACTAGAAACTTCCACACTTCACAATTGCTTCCTACAGAAGATTTTGTACTTAATTCTTTCTTGGCAGTAAAGAGCAAGCCCGATTCAGCTCATCTGACAGATATATACATGACACACACCCACCCACACACACACCTGAGCCAAATGGAAGAGCCCTCGAAGAGATGGGTGAAAATAGCAAATTTGCACATTTACCTGTATGTGTTCACACTTTATTTTAATTTAAGTATGATTAATTTGCATGGTAGAAATTGCTCTTTAAAGCTCATGTGAAAAGCTGGCATGATGGCGAGAGGGATGGCTTTTTAACTAGATAACCCGACACCTGACACAAAGGAATTTCATACAGATGTACAACTGTTTGCATTGTAACCGAACACAAACCCCTTTTCATCTATTTTATAATGCAATACTCTTGTTATTGCTGAATCTTCACTATGCCTTAAAGGAGTGCATCTATATTACCTGCATTACATCCGGGGGGGGGGGGGAGAAAAGAAAAGTGGGTGGGGGTGGTTTGAAAAGGATTCACCTGTCAAGAGCACTGGACCTCAAACTGGGCTTGCAGAACTGTTTGGAAGCAGTCACTGCTCCTCATGGATCTGAACCCTAAGGCACAATAGACCAGTAGGCTGATTGGCTGACAGCCTCCACTTCTTAGGTTATTTACCTATATGCAACAATCCAGCAATATGCTGCCTTGGGGGTGGGGGCAGCCTGGTGTGCAATTGTTCTGTCCTGGTTGTTTATAGTCTGTGTCCTTAGCCTTTCTATTGCCCTGGCTCTTCACCGTCTTCTGTCTCTTTCCATTTGAAATTATTTGCTGCATGGAGGATGTGCCCACAGCCAGTCACCTGATATGGTACTGGACCTGTTCATGCCTGGACACACAGTGAGACCCGATCCAACAAGAAACAATCCCAAGCTGGGCGTTGGCACAAGCCAAGCTGGATGACAGGCTGCAATCCTACGGAGTCACTTACATTAACACCTCAAAGGGGAGGGAGGAAGAACCCTGACTATTTTTGGGTTTGGCATCCCAGTCAGCTTGTGATGGATGACCTCTCTTGCCTTGTCCAAAAAATGTCTTCTGCTACCAACTTAAAATGCAAAAGGTAAGAAACTGGGCTCTTTCAATAACCAGACTGGTTTTTTCTATTCTTGTTTTAAAATCAAGGCTGAGAGCACTGGAGGGAGGGGGGGGGGGGCAGGAAGCACAGAGGTTAACAGCTGGCAGAGTCACAGCAGAGCCAACTCCTTCTGGTTTTGCTGCCGTCTTCCTCCCTACTGAGATCTACAATGGCAACCCTGAGACTAAGAAGAAGGAGGCTGCCAGCCCTTGGACTAGATATAAGTAACTCTTGGGGTGGCTGACTCTTGCTTTATATCATATTAATCAGCCAGGGCAAATGCTGATTGGTGGAACTGAAACTTGAAGAACATGCTACCATGCAAACAGCGCCAACACACTAGCTCATCTTCCAAGTAGCATATTTGATTCCTCCCCCCTAAGGCTTGTATTCAGTAGAGTGTTAGGAAAATCAGTCTGTGCAATGATTTCTCCTTGTGCAACAAAATAATCTCTTCCTTTGTTCCCCCTCTGCATTCTCTAAATCTGTTCTGGGGTTTCCCCCTAACCCTTCAGGGCAGGTTCGGGGATGGCACAGGGTGTGCTTGGGGAGTGAGGAGAGATAAAAACCCCTTGCGCCAATGCTAGACCTTATGCTAGTGCAAATATACAGTGGCTTGCCACCCATAATCTTAGGGATCTATTTTACTTTCAGTCTGAAACCAAAGCTCAGCTTGGAGAACGTCTGCCTTCCATACAACTTTCACTCAAGCTGTAGGACTCAGAGGCAATGGGGTCTGACATGGACCAGTTGAAATCAATACTAATATGTCCTAAAGAGCTGGATCTTCCACAATACTGATGGGACTTAAACTGTCATTATAGAGAGCCAGTGTGGTGTAGTGGTTAAGAGGGATGGACTCGTAATCTGGTGAACAGGGTTCGTGTCTCCGCTCCTCCACATGCAGCTGCTGGGTGACCTTGGGCTAGTCACACTTCTCTGAAGTCTCTCAGCCTCACTCACCTCACAGAGTGTTTGTTGTGGGGGAGGAAGGGAAAGGAGATTGTTAGCCGCTTTGAGACTCCTTAGGGTAGTGATAAAGCGGGATATCAAATCCAAACTCTTCTTCATTCATATATATATATAACATTGTGAAAGGTTGTGCGTAAGGATAACAATATGTTGGCATAGTGATAAGAATAATGTACAGCTGATCAAGACAAGTGGACATCAATTCATGTACCAACAATGTGATTGCTTCCTCTTTGGTGATGGGCCTACACCTCTGCGCTTGAGTCAGAATTCAGCACCTGCTGAAGACATTCTTATGTAGACAAGCCTTCCCAGAGGTTTAGAAAGTTTGTATGAGTTTTAATTTGCTATTCTATTGTGGTTTTAACTTTCTGTATGTTTTAAATTGTGGTTGTAAATCTATTAGTGATAATTTTATTTCTTTATCTTTTTGTTAACCGCTTTAAGGTTTTTCCTACAATCAAGTGGTATATGAATTTTATGAAACAAACAAACAAACATAGAAATGCAATTTTTGCTATTCACCTGTCCACAGGTTTCTTTTGAAGCTTCGTCTCTTTTTCTAGTGCACTTCTGTTGAAAGCAGGGACAAGAGACTCCAGTAGGGATGAGATCTCTGTTTATTTCACTTTCCTATAATAAGATTTTTTTTTTTAAAAAAAACCCCACTATTACTATTATAAATTGGGTAGCTGTTTTTAATCTGTAATTTTAATGTAGAAGAATATTAGCTATAATAGCTATACTACTCATAAGGCACCCTCTTGTGGTGATAATACTGTGTGACTTGTGTAAGAGCTTATGCTACTTGTTCCAATCTTTGCTCAGGAAATCTTGCTCAGGACAAATACCTCCAGCACTTTTTCACTTTTCTAGCTGTTTTGTTAGTCTCATTCAAAAAGCAGAGAATATTAGTTAATTCAGATTACTGTGTTAGGCCTAGAGAAGTCCATCAGAAATGCATTCCTTAATCAGCATGTAGTTCTCAGTTGGGGTTTCTATCCTAGCCCCATTTACCTGGGAGTAAGCCCCAATGAATTCAAAAGGACTTACTTCTGAGTAGAAATTGGCCACTTCCTGGCTGTCATGATTTTGGGTCACAATTCAATCACATACTGGCAAATTCAGATTCAACAATTAAAGTTGATTTGGAGATTTGTGCAAGATACCCGCTCCCCCAAAAGACAGGCCTTTTCACAAGAAAGGAAAGTGTCAGAAACATACACTGCAAAGCATGGGATAGCACTTGCTTTGATGATCCAATAAAATTTAACCTTCCCACAAACGAATAAGAACAAATGTTCATTAAGTAGCCAGCACCCTGCCAGTGACCAGGACTGCATCCTAAGTAGGTTTCATTGCGGCTGAAATCAATGTGATTAACAACAGAATCCTACACATACCTCCTCAGAAGCAAGCCCCACTCACTTCTCTGAGGCTTATTCTTAGATAAGTGGGTAAAGGATTGCAGTCTAAAGTATACTGGACAGTGCATCTAGTTGGTGGATCGTTCATTACTTCAATTTAGAGAAACTCTTCTTAGCATATATACTGTGTATCTCAATTCTGAGCGTGGCATTAGGCTTTTTACCTTTTTTGACCAATGGGACCCTTCTCCCCTTTTTTAAGATTCTTCTGACAACTATAAGTGTATTTCAAAAGGAGATTATGGGGTTGTAAAGAAAAGAAAGAACAGAGTTACACCTCCTGGCTTAAGACGGCACCCACTTCATTCCATGTACAGAACCTGGCCCGACTGGCAGTTACACAGGAACACAGAAACCTGCCTTGCACTGAGGCAGACCACTAGGCCACCTAGCCCAGTGCTGTCTACAGTGACGGCCAGCAATGTCTCCAGAGTTTCAGATAGGGCTCTTTCCTGGTCCTACTGGGAGATGTCAGCGATTGAACCTGGGACCTTCTGCATGCAAATCAAATGTTCCACTGCAGAACTACAGCTTTCCCCCTTATTTCACCTCTCACGATAAGGCAGTATCCTCCACCACGCTTGAGGGCAGCAGGCTAGCTTAGGGAGTGTCAGGCAGGCACAGCTGTCTCCTTCAACGCCTTGTCATCATTCTCCTCTCTTCAGCATCTGCTGCCTGTGGCAGCTGCCTCACTCTGTCTAATGGCTGTGCCGGAGCCCGGTCCTCTTTTTTTCAATAGGCCATCCTAGTTCCATCAAAGCTGCTCTGAGCATTCTGAAGGGAGAGTGGCATAAATAAAACACACGAGAAAAGCTCATATACATGCCTGCATCAGGTGCCCGACATAAATGAACTTGACTCTAGGCTAGGGTTGCCATATTAGAAACCAGAATACCCCAAAATTTGCTTGAGCTTCTTTTTCTTTTTTTTTTAAGGAAACCACCGAAATTGTTGAGGCTTTTTTTTTAGATTGACTTGTCTAAGATCCAGGACATCAATTCCGCCTTTGAAAACCCGGCAATGTCTGGGAAAATCCAGACGTATGGCAGCCCAACTCTAGGCTACAAATGAACCGAAAGCCAAGAAACCTTAGGGCACCTTTATTTTACTGAAACTGTATCCCCACTTCTCTGCATAACAGCTCAAATGCATAAATCTATTTGTTTATACCCAAACCAGAACAGAACACAAGACAGAGGAAGAATCTGCTATAATGTCCGTTGTTTTGGATCCATATAGAAACTGCCACACAACCCATGCAGATTTCAAGAAACATTTTCACTATGCAAATAACATCTCTCTCCCCCCCCCTTCATTTTTAAATTTTCAAACGGTTTGGTGATTAGTTTTGTTAAGAGCACCACATTGCTAAGTTGTAGGTCCCTGGGGTCAGAAGAAGACCTTTAGAAACCTAAATGAACTTTATTTACACATTGTTAAGAACTTCAGACGTTTGCGGTTCTCCCACAAATGCAGACCATGAAAATGAAGACGTATTTGCAATCATACTTGGTAGCCTTTTTTATGTGGAATAATTACAGAAATAATCTGAAGCTGTGGATCAGATTATTAATGAAAAGGGTAGCCTGCAAAGTCTCCTAATACCTTTTGTAAAACAAGGCAGGAGACTGTATAATATAATGAATAGCCCTGGGCTTGAGGACTGCCAGAACTAACATCCTGAAATCTGTTGTCTCAGCTGATGAGCTCTAAAGCCAGAAAGAGCAGCAACTGTACAGTCGATGGAACTGTTGAACGTCTATACCTTCCATATACCGTTTTCCTGTCTTTACAATTGCGTGGAGCACAACATTTAAGTCTGTTGGATTTATGAACTGCTTCACACAACATAAAGACCGGAACTGATTTACAAGAAGAATAAAAGATGCAGGTGAAAACAAAAGTTCTAAAAACACAGTCAGGTTTCCAAGAGTTGGAGCTGCTCCAAATGCCTGGCAAAATAAAAATTCTTTGCCTGGTGCTGAAATGATGACTAAATTGGTGCTCAGTGGGCCTCCCTGGAGACAGCGTTCTTTAGACAGGGGGCTACTACAGGAAAGACCTGTTCTGTTGTCACCACTCTCTGGACCTCCCTCAGATGCTGATCTCAGGGTCTGAACAGATTCACAATGGTTGCCATATGTTTGATGCTAAATGGAATCACCCACTAATAAGAGTTATTCAGGTAGTCAAGATGGCATTTACCTCCTTAACACTAGGCAGATGTGGACAAACCCCATTTATTTATTTATACTCCACCTACTAACAAAAGTTATTGAGACAGCTTGAATTATATTTAAAGCACAACACAATAGTCACTACAGCCAGGCAAAGATATATGCAAGTCCCTCTCTCCTTGTTCTTTGATTTTCCAACAAATGCCATTCTGCAGCTGAATCTCTGGCTGTTGGAAGCAGCTAGTTGTTAGGCCACACAGGGCAGGATGTCCTCGCAGGTTGGCTGCTGCTGCCTCTCACAGCCCTGGGCCTGATGGCAAATGTGGGAGGTGCTGGCAGGCAGGGAGCATATATACTACATGCCTTCCTCCCAGTTCACAAATGTTCCTGTTAATCTAACTGGAGAAAAGCATTGCCAGCTTTGCTTGCTAGATCATAAATCCTACACTGAAATCACTTTTATACAATATGGCAATTTTGCATGACTCGCGTTTGAGGGTCTGCAACAAGAAATGGTTCTGCTTGTGTATAAACTACAGCATGGGTAGGCAAACTAAGGCCCGGAGGCCGGATCTGGCCCAATCGTCTTCTAAATCCGGCTCGCGGATGGTCCAGGAATCAGCATGTTTTTACATGAGTAGAATGTGTTATTATATTTAAAATGCATCTCTGGGTTATTTGTGGGGCCTGCCTGGTATTTTTACATGAGTAGAATGTGTGCTTTTATTTAAAATGCATCTTGGTTATTTGCGGGGCAAAGGAATTCATTCATCCCCCCCCAAAAAAATATAGTCCAGTCCCCCACAAGTCTGAGGGACAGTGGACCGGACCCCTGCTCAAAACGTTTGCTGACCCCTGAACTACAGTATGTACAGGTCCCATATGTTTTGTGTGCATTTGTAAAGGGGTTGCCATGATTGTCTTGTAGGATTTATGAAACTTCATGCAAAGAAGTGACTTGTGTAGTCTGTGAGGATTTTGAACCCCCTTCTGTTTTCTGATCCCTTCAGAAGACAAAATGCTTCAGTGGGAATGACCAAATGATGCTATAGCCTTCTCCTTCAGACTTTTTATAGAGTGATGTTTTTTGTAAAGTTGTTTACGATCTCGTTTCTCTAAGTTCCGGGGTGAAGCTAGGGATGGCTGAATCTTTTAGTCTTGGTTTCTCTCAATTTCTCATTTTTTCATCCTTCTGTTCTCTACATTTCCACGTCGGTTTTTAAAAAGTCTTGATGAAAACTGATCGGCATTTTAGAATTTCTCCTAATGTACACATTTTGTATGCAATTTTGCCTAGCATCCACATTTTCAAAAAAGGAACTTCCCCTAATAAAATGCATTTTTGTACTTTTTCCACTAATATATAGAGAACTGGGTTGCAAAATTTGGAGATGTGTGATTTTTGAAGAGTGGCTGTTCGAAAAGTGGATTTTGAATAGCAAATCTATCCTGTCTGAATACTCTCTTTTTGGCCAGGGCAACCTGCTCCAACCTGGCATCATCCAGATATTTTGGACTACAACTCCCAGCATTCCTGAAGGTTAGCCATGCTGATGGGAGTTGTAGTCTAAAACATCCCAGAGGGCACCATGTTGGGGAAGGCTTGGCTAGGGATTAAAGGCATGAGGAGCCATACTTGAACAACATGGCACTATATCTCCTATAGTACTTTGTACAGATTTGTACAGATCTGCAAAAAAGGTGTCTACGTCAGTAGCACAAAGCTGTAAAACACAAAGATGCAAAACAAAAATTAAACACTGCTGTTACATAGTAACAAATTACAAATGAAATGACTGAGCAGAAATTTATAAAGCAAAGCACTGGAAACAGAAACAAACAATGCAGAAATCAATCAGTTTGGTCCCAAAGCCTTTCTGAAAAAGGAACAAAGTTATGGGACCTGGCATTCCAGAAGGTTGGCACCACAACTGAAAAGGCCCTGCTCTGAGTACACCTGTCAGAGGTGAGTTGGCTAGAGCATACAGACTAGGGTCCTCAATGTTGAACAGAACACAGAAGGTGTTGCCAAGTCTATCTGTAGTTCCTGTGATTTTCAGTATATGTCCAAAGAGTTTTACCTCACTTCAACCACCTAGCTGCAAATCATTGTTACAGACAGAGGTGACATGACTAAAAGAATCGAATCATCCCAGAGAAACCCAGATATCAGATTTGGTTTTTCAGATCTGTGAAATGTGGAATGCAAATGCTATAGTCCTTTTTTTTTTTTTAATCCCTGCTTACTCTCTAATCTTATCAAATATACATCCACATATCGTAATACACACAAATAGTATTAGGGTTTGCAAAGCACATTTTCTTAGAAAATCCAATTTCACAATGTATTTTTTTTCCTGCTGACATATTAGCCATTTCTTTATACATTAAAAGGTCTTACGCTACTCCAGCTGAAGGAGACAGAACTGAGCTGCATAGCAAAGGCAGGGTAAGCTAATCACATTGCATTATTATCCTTCTGCAGGAAATACTTTTTACAAGACATATACATAATGTTTTATGACATGCACCTGGTCTTTCCTCTTATGGCACAGGGAAATGTCTTACTCACTGATACCTATCCTCATGCTGTTTATCCCTCACAGTTACTTTGTGATATCACTGTTTACATGTGAATGGAGGTGCCTCCAGGTTCATAAATCTGTATGCAGTAGTATGGGTTCTCTAACAGCAATTCATTTTAATTATGTGTGACATAAAAGGACCACCTACAGATGAGACAATACAGTTGTAAGATTTTCAAGGTTGCTACGGGGAATACTTCATAACTGAAGTATGTTTTCCCTAAGGAGTTATACTACCATTTGATTTAATTTTTAATTTTTACATTTTAATCAAAAATAGATCAAATGGTGGTGGTACCCCCTGGGAAACATACTTCAGATATGAAGCAGTTCGTGTTTCCTTTAAATATGTAAAGCTGCCATTTATGTATAACTCATGAATGACACCCTGTGTTGCAAGCAAATATCATGCGGCGTTTTCTATACTGCTCCAGTAACAATAATAGAATCACATGCAAGTATAGCCTGACTCAACAAGGAAAAGACGTGCCACTCAGACATGTCAAGACCAGATTAAATTCAACAGGAAGCTGGTCCTAATTAAGGTCAGTTTCAGAGAACGCTGAAAGACTGAGACTCACACCATACAAACCAGAAGTCGTGCATCGACTGTCGCTGAGCATGTGCAGAGTATCATACTAATGAATACCTATAGTGTTCCTCCACATAATGGGGCACACTATATGCCTCATATAGTGCCCTGGAAAAAATGGTTTCCAGGCACTTTTGAGACTTGACAAACACAGCCTTTTAAACAACAACAAAACACAATACAGGCCCCATTCTTTATTGGGATGTTTCAAGTTAACATTTGACAGTTTCAGAAGGACACATGGGGTGGGATTCACCTAACGGATCCATCAGTGGAAGCCCTGCTGAAAGTCTTCCACTTGCACAATGGGGCTTTTCCTCCTCTTCTCCCACCCTTCACCCACCTCAACACTGGCTCTGGGGGAAAAATAAACACCCGCAGAACAGCGGTGGGGGCAGGAAGATTGTTCTGCGGACAAGCTGATAGGCTTGCACAGTTGGAATGCTCAACATTGCACAAGACTGAATAGCACCCATGGCATGTTTTAGAAATAATTCATTTCAGAAGTGCTGTAGACTACTTTGAGATTCTATACTAAGCAGTATATAAATCGTTTAATTAAATAAATGTTCTGTTAGGACTAGAGTGCTGTAATGTAGGCTCAAAAGGCCAGATATAGTATAAGAGCAAAACCCTAAACAAGTGTTTAATGCACCTTATTATTTAGATAGCATCGCTGGGTTATATGGTACTCTATAAAGATCTCAATCTAGGAAACTAGGAGTGTAGCAGGAAAGTATAGGCCTACTGTTCTATTCTCAGAACTCTTCCCCCTAAGCATTTTATCAGTTCATGGGGGTTGGAGGAGGAATGGTACTTGGACCACATCTGATACCTGTTTCCTCATTCTGTTCTTTAATTTGGTGATTGACACTATGAGACCAGCACTGATTTATCACATAGGTGCGTGTGTGCAGAACCATAGTTCCCCTTCCAATCATGCGCACTGTGGAAGGGCAAACTATTCATAAATCAAGGATCATAAGTTGGAGCCAGGCTTTCTCTGCTTGGAGTAGACCTATTGAAATAAATTGAACCTACATTAGTGACTAACTATAGTCTTATTGATTTCAATGGAGTCTGCTTTAAGCATGACTAAGTCTGGATCCAATCCAATATATTCAGAATTGTCAAACTAATGTGGTTGAGATTGAATTTATTTTAGTTCCATATTCTGGGATCTTTTCTTGACCTGCTCAAGACTGGAACTAGCATCATACTCGGGTTACTTAACTGATGGGCCAATGAATTTATTTAGGGTGCTGTACAACAAATAATGGGACGCGGTGGCACTGTGGGTTAAACCACAGAGCCTAGGACTTGCCGATCAGAAGGTCGGTGGTTCGAATCTCCTTGACGGGGTGAGCTCCCGTTGCTCGGTCCCTGCTCCTGCCAACCTAGCAGTTCGAAAGCACGTCAAAGTGCAAGCAGATAAATAGGTACCACTCGGGAAGGTAAACGGCGTTTCCATGTGCTGCTCTGGTTCGCCAGAAGCGGCTTAGTCATGCTGGCCACATGAGCTGGAAGCTGTACGCCGGCTCCCTCGGCCAATAAAGTGAGATGAGCGCTGCATCCCCAGAGTCGGCCACGACTGGACCTAATGGTCAGGGGTCCCTTTACCTTTACCTACAACAAATAATTGCTGACTGTTAACACTTCTGTCCCATCCTCATGCTCCCTCCAAATGCTATTTGTCATTCATAATTGAGACTGAGCTACAAAAGGTGATCAGGATCCATTTAAAACGAGCCGGGTAACCCTTAAACCCCAGTTAAAATGCACTGACAGCTTTGTTTTCTTTACACATCTGAGTATATTGTGTGTCACGTACAAAGTGCAACTGTTCAATATCTGGGTATGATATTTGAGGCTATGATACTCTTACTGGGACACCTGGTCACAGAGGAGGTGTAGGTATAACACTTCAACAGAATGCTCCCCCACAAAAAGGGGGGAAAGGCTGGCTTATTGTAGATCTGTCAAGAGACTTTGGAATATGCTGACAAAACAAGCCTCAAAAGAAAAAGCTGAGGCCTTAAATCCTGAAGAAAGACCTTTGAGGTCAAACCACTTACCCCAGGGAATCCTGTTCAGGTCAATTCCTGGAGAAAGTGGATTGAGGAATGCAGACCAAGAAATTCTAGCCAGGAAAGAACTAAAAAAATGAAAAACAAACTTAAGGAGAAGTCTGGGAACGAAGTGGCCTTGTCATGAAACCAAAACCTCAAGTCTTGAATAGATTTGCTTGCAAGTATATTCAGATACCTGTATTTTTTCTACTACAGAGACTATGGGTCTTTGCAACTACTGTCTTTTGATGAAGGCATCCAGGTTTATGGAAGTGATGACAACAATATCACACTGTGGGCAATATACCATCTTTGTCAGGGAAATATCAGCATATAAGGCAGCATTCACCTAATGAACCCCATCACCAGAAGCTTCTGCTTGCGCAGTGGGGCTTCCCCCACTTCTCCTCATGCCTCCTGAAATTGGGCTCAGGTGTTTCTATTGGGAGAACCCCAACAACACTACACAGGGAGGGGGAATCATTCTGTCCGATATGCCTGCACAGATGGAATGTTTGTTGAATTCCACCCATGGTAATTTAATAGAATCATAGAATTGTAGAGTTGGAAAGGACCACAAGGGTCACCTGGTTCAACCGCCTGCAATGTAGGAAATCTTCTGCCCAACATGAGACTCAAATCCATTACCCTGAGATTAAAAGTCTCATGCTGTACCGACTGAGCTATCCCAGAATTTTTTTAATTGTGAATGCACCTCTTGTGGTTTATACTGAACCAGGGTTTCAGAAAGGTAGATTTCAGAACATACAAATACCTTCTCAAGTTACTGACAATGAAGCATCTTATGGTACCTGAGAATGAACTTTTGTGGACTAGAGTCCACTTCATTGGACCCATGAGGCATTTTTTCCTCAGTTGGCAGATGTGGATGAAGGGGGGGGAAGTAAACAGGGAAGTCAGGTGGAAATGCAAATCACATTAAAGGGCATTAAATGTATGTAGAATAAGCATAGTGAGCATGCAAAACAGCAGTCATTAATGATAACAAAAATGTCTTTGGTTATTTAATTGATACCTGTAGTGGAACAGGAACATGATTCAAGCCAGAGGCAACAGAACTGAATTTCATGACAGGTTGTAATTCAGTAGTTGCACTTTTCACTGTTTTGTTGTTCAAGAATGGTCACTTTACAAAACTGGTTCACTAAAGAACAATGGGAGAATAGGCTTCATTTTCTTGCTAATAAATAATAATAATAATAATAATAATAATAATAATAATAATAATAATTTTGTTGTTTATACCCTGCCCATCTGGCTGGGTTTCCCCAGCTACTCTGGGCGGCTCCCAACAGAGGACTAAAAACAATAAAACTTCAAACATTAAAAACTTCCCTAAACAGGGATTGTGTAGATTCTCTTTCCACTAGAATTTCACTATGTCTGAAAAAGTCAATAAACAAGAGGGCATAGTGGTCTCCCAAATCCCTATTTATTTCAGTGGAACATACCTCCATGAAACAGTGCATAAGTAAAGCCTTCAGTAATATGCAGTCAAACAGACAAGTGAAATTGCCTGCGGTAAGACAGGAAAGAGAAAAGTACAAACCAGATTGTGGGAGAGGGTTAATCTTAATTTTCTTAAATAATGATCTTTTTTAAAAAAAGGCAAATGTAATAAAAAAAAAATGCTATCTTTTAAAACCAACATGCAATTTATTTTTTAAAAAAGTTTTCCATAAACACTGATTTACAAAATACAAAGATTTCAAAGGTGAAATAAAAAATAAAAATCTGCATTAAAAGTGGTAAGAACCTATATATTATTTTACATATATGAAAGTAGGAGAACGTGGCTTTCTATACAAAAGGATGAATAACATATACACATGTACAAAACTGATTATAAAAAAGTGATAATGTTGAAATTTCTCAAAGCAACGCTTTTGTGGTTATAACACTTCCTCCCTATTTAATTTTGGGATATATAGATATGTGTATATGTGTTTATATATATGTGTGTGTTTGTGTGTGTCTCTGTATATAACTATTTACTTGTTTGTAGAAACCTTTGATCTAAGGTTACATTTTCAGCGCACAGTGGCCTGTGTAAATATTCTATAATCTATTAGGAAAGGGGTGTATGGGACATTATGGGAGGGGTAGTACTTCCGGTGGGGGACACTTCGTGCTCCTTCTAGGGTGGTAGACTGTTCACTTTTGGTCCTCACCCTGCACTCAGCTCTCATCTGTGGCTCCTAGAAACAGTCAGAATGTGATAGCAGCCACACACCAGAATGGCTTTGACTGGCCATTCAACTAGAGGAGGCCAGACACACCTGGTTCTATATACTAGGAGGCTTGTGCTATTGCTCATAGGAGTGGTTGCTTTGCAAAGAGCTAAAACCCATGCATGTCGTTTCATAAGTAACCCTTACTGTGTTCAACTAAGGCAGTCTTAAAGAATACTCGAGCCACATATTTTGAAGCTGTCTTACTGACTGTGTTGGGACTAGTCTGAGTAAATAGAGTATCACACTTCTGGAATTCATAGGACAGAATATGTCTAGTATTGCTTCTATGAGTAACCACCAACTGGCCTATTGTATTTCCTATGTGCTTTACATGAATGAACATCGTAATTTCATTGCAAGAAATACTAAGACGGTAGCAATCTAAGGCTGTTGAAAAGTAAGGATGCATGGACTCAATTTTCAAGAAGTATCATTGACTAGGTTCAATTGGTTGCTACCAAGTAGGCCAACTATAACCTAAGGAATCACAAGATTGATTTTAAGCCTTTTCAGGCAAGATCTTCCCCAGATCTAAGATAAACTGTATGGATGTAATAATAATAATTATGAATGTAGTGGAGTGTAGAAAAAGTCTGGAATCTCAAACCAGTCCCTATGTATTTTGTTACGGAGTATCACTGCATCAATGTCCTTTGATCTTCTATAAATCCCATAATATGGCCAAAGTGTCCCTGAAATTGAAAAAAAAAGCAAATCAGGGGTTACTATACAGATCAGCATTTGCACTATATAGAAAAGGAGAAGCCAACATTGTGCCTTACAGAAGCTGAGGACTACAACTCCCATTAGCCTCAGCTGCATAGCCAATGGTCAGAGATGATGAGATTTGTAGTCCACAACATCTGGAAGCTATCCCTGATGTAGAGAATAAGGAGTAAGCAAAACCCCTGCAAAAATATTAGCAGCCTTGACAAGCATGGGAAGTATTAGCTTTGATGTCCAAGTAAGACGTTGACTTTGTATTCTATGGCTGGATCTGTAGGGAGCTTCTGAGTGTGGCTGGATATGCTCATCCAATACAGCTGGCCTCCATAAGCCAAATGCTTTCTAAACTGAGCCTACACTACTTTCTTCCTGTTTGCATAAGAACAAAATAATTGCCTTGCTCGCTTAGACCAAGTCCCAGAGAGTCCAGCATTCTGTCTCCAGAGGGGTTGGCCAGATGTCTCCAAAAAGCTCATAAACCAGGCGCGGCAGCAATAGCCAACCCATACAGTTCAGCTGCTGCTGGGGACAATCAGAAATAAATCGAATCACCAAAGGCAATGTTTTAGCTATTGTGACTAATAGCCATTGATTACGCGCCATGAATTTGTCTAATCCTTCCTTCAGACCATCTAAGCTAATAGACATCACTTTATCATGTGGCAATTTTATAAGTTCATGAATGGCAAAACAAAAGGGGGGGAAAATGTCCATACATCCCAAGATGAGAGATGTCAGCACAGGATTCTTAAGTGGCTCCTACTTTTCAGGGAACTTTTCCCATGGGGTAGATGCATGAATACCTGTTTCAGACATTGCACAGAACCACAGAAACAGGAAACAAGAGCTTACTCATGCGCCATTTTTCCTCTGCTTGTCAAATATCTAAAATTGCCTACAGACAACATTCATCACACTTTCCCTGGCTTTTGCAATACTCGAACATGAAGGGAGGACCTTTGACTCCAGTGGCCTAGCCACATGTCATACAAGAAGCTAGTTGCAAAAAGGGTGGGAAGAAATCTTAGCGTTTGTACTGAAACAGGGTCATTTAGCTGTTACGGTAGGACCTCCAAGAACCCTGAGCTACCCAATGAGGTTATACTAAGCAAAAGTGTAAGCTAAGGCCAAGTTATGCATGATTAGGGAAAATGGCAGGCTTTGGTGTCTTTTGTGTGTATGCATGCTGCAGGTCAGCATAGTTCGACCTAGGATTCCATATCATGAAAAAGCATGTTTCATACATTACAGGAAATGCCACGAGAAGATCTATCTATCTATCTATCTATCTATCTCGGTTAGAATGGAAAAAACAAGGTAAACGAAGTCCTTGGATTAGCTTTAAATCAAAACATGGCTATTAAAATGGTTTGTAATCCAAAACAAGTGCCTATATCCTGACCCTCCACAAAGCAGGAGAAAACAAATTAGTTTGGTGTTGGCCAGTGTCATTGTGAATGATCCGGCTCCCTGAGTCCTTTCCTTCAGGAGAGGGGACTTCCCACCAGAAAAAAACAAAAACTAATCACATCAGTTTCCATGGGGGAGAAGACCCACCCAGAGGGGTTTTGTGGAATGCCTGCAAAAAGGTCAACCCTTTTTTTGAGCTGTGGACATGGATGCTACTGCACCCCTAAAGCCAACTGATTTCGTTAAATTCCACCAACAAAGGACTCCCATCTGCAAAAGCCTTCCATTCCCTTCAGTAAATAGGATAAGGCTTCACTGGCAAAGAATTGCATGCACAGAGCTGCTGCCTAAACTGAACTGAGTGAGGAAGTCTGCAAGCCCATTACAAAGCACTTGGGGGTCTGGAATGGAGTTGTATTGTCATTGTTGGGGCAGAAATAACTTTGCATAATTAAAAAAAGACCCAACAACCTTCTGAGACTGAACTAAACTGCTTGGAAATGTTTAAAAGAAGTGAGCCATATGTCTATCTATAGCTTCTCCCCCCCCCCCCAATTTTGTGGAATTGTACTTCTAAAACTCTGTCCATAAATATTAAAACGTCTCTTAATTGGACATACTCCTGGAATACAATAATCCACACCTTTTTAACTTGAATTGAGATTCATTTACGCGACTAAACTCTGCTTTCTAGAATGCATTTGAAAAATGAGCCTGAAGTCCCTATATTTTCCAATCTGATGCAGGAAATGTATTAGTTTTGCACTCTGCTAGCATATGGAGAAAAAGCTAAATCAATCTGCCTCTTTTATTTACATGCTTTATCCCGGAGAAATGTAATTGCAGGGTTTTTTTTTTATTAACTTTATGTTTTATGGCTCTAATATTTAAGAACAAGCCTATCTTTTATGTCATAGTAAGAAGGTTAATATACTTACAGGTTCTCCAGCAATACATCTTGGGCAAGGCTGGGCTGTAGTTCTGGTTTCATTATCCGGAAATATCTGATTAACAAGCACACATACACAAAATTCTGAAAAAAGCAGCCACTGGTTGACATTTTTATTATGAAATATATTAACATCTTCTGCTAAAAGCATGGATTTGGGCTACATAAAACATACCACGGAATTTGGCTTTTCTTTCATAATCTGAGGACTAAAAAAATCAGCGGGATCTTTCTGCTTCAAATCCTGCTCCATATCCCAGTAATCCATAGCACACTTGCTTTGTGGGTGGCAAGCGCTGATCACTTGTGGAATAGTCTCTGAACTTCTACATGCTCGTTTCTAGAAGGGGGAGGAAAAGAAAAAGAAATTAAGTGCAAAGTTTCCACCACATCCCACTCCTCTGCTTTGCACACAGAAGGTCCCTGGCACCTCTGCATAGGGCTGGGAGAGACCCTTGCTTCAAACTCTGGAGAGTACTGCTGTCAGTCAGTGCAGACAGTACAGAGTTAGACATTATACCAATAGTCTGACATGGTATAAAGCAGCTTTCTTCATTCCTATTACACACACACACGTGCCATAGAATTCAAACAGCAATATGATAAAATAGAATAAAATAAAAATCAAGGTGAGTATTTAATCAACAGTCACAGTGTGGACCACCCGGACAAAGCTCATGCATTACTGGTGGAAACCCTATACTAGAGGGATTTCCTAGGTGTGCTGAAGAATATCAGTTTATAACATTTTTTTAAAGACCTATCTATCATCTATCTATCTATCTATCTATCTATCTATCTATCCATCCATCCATCTCAGTTGGTTAGAGCAGGCATAGGCAAACTCGGCCCTCCAGATATTTTGAGACTACAATTCCCATCATCCCTGACCACTGGTCCTGTTAGCTAGGGAGGATGGGAGTTGTAGTCCCAAAATAGCTGGAGGGCTGAGTTTGCCTATGCCTGGGTTAGAGCATGGTGCTTATAGCACCAGGGTTGCAGGTTCTATCCCTGTATGGGATGGCTGCATATTCCTGCATTGCAGGTGGTTGGAGTAGATGATTCTTAGAGTCCAACTCTACAATCCTATGATTCTATAGTGAAAGACCTGTGCTCAGTGTGTTTCAGGACCCGTGGGATGTATAGGGCAGTGGAGCCACAGGATGCTGAATGTGTCGGTGGTTGTGGTCCGAGAAATAGAAAGGGGGAAGAAGACCTGCATGCATTCCAAACATCCTATATGTACTATCCTTAGCAGGTGGGTATGATTTTCAACCACCCCCAGACCTGACCCCTTTTAATGTTTTTAGAGCAAAGGTTTCTGGAGGGTGGGAGAGTTTTTAACAGCTGTCCTTTCCTTTGAACCTCTGAATCTTCAGATGAGTAGAGCCCTCAGCACTTGTATTAGGGAGTGAAAATCCACTACAATATGCTCACCTGCAGAAAGCAAATTTAAAGTGGATCAATGCAAGAAGAATTTCCAAGGAGAAAGGCTGAAACAAGAGCACTGCTGAGAAAGAAACAAGATATAGCTAAAGGAAGTGAATCAGAAACAAAATATGCATCATGTTATGAATGTGCAAAATGCCTTCCACCGGGAAAACATCCACCTCTTTTGTTACTGCAGAATTTGTCCTTTATTAAAATCTATGGCGTGCAAGTACAAGTGGCATTAACTAGAGATATGCAGGGGACAAAGGATAAAAGGAAAAAGTGAATTGGTGCTGTGCATTAGATGAAATTTTGCTTATCAAAAATGAAGCCAGACTATTGCTTTGGGTTGGGAGGTACTTAGTATCAGGGACAGAAATTTAGCATACAGAGTAGTTGTCTAAGAATCTTATACCAATGCAAGCAGAACCTACAGAGGTTTCTACAGAGAATTCCAAATTATTCTGAAATTCAATGCCATTGGAAAACATCTCGTGGAATTGCAACAACAGACCAGCGTAGAATTCTGATGGCGGATGCTGCATTAATAACACAGTACCTAGCACGTCCATGGCAAAGCCCTACAGAGTCATATAGCTTTGGAGACCACCTCAGGTTATTGAATTTCATCAGAATGGTGCATAAGTGCACCAGACCTGTTCTAACAGGGCTAAAAAGTCTAAATAAGTCAAGAATATACCTGATAAGGGCTTGGAACAAGATAATTACAACAGTGTCCCACTTTTTAAAAAGTACTGTAAAGTGTAAATCCAAGGATATACACACATTTTCTTCTTTGGAAACCCGAGTAGGCAGAGCATTTTTATTTTATCATATGCAAACAAACAGAGGCAGGTATACAATGTCTGAAAAGTTCTATACGGATTAATCCATATCTTCACTTGGTCACAAATGTCTGATAGGCAAGTACAAAAAGCCCCTGGCGAATTCTGAACGCTGCTCCCCAGTACTTTGGGCTCACCCACTGGGATATGCAGCAGCTTAGTGTTTTCTCAAGGGTCTATCAAGTGTTTAGTGGCACTTGTCTGGAAGCAGTAACCATTGTTTCAACAATGGTTGAAATTGTGACCTATTAAACATAGCTTTATACTTTTAGGTAGGAATATGCCCTTTTCTTTAACTGCATTGTGAATTCTGACATATACAAAATAGCTTAGAAGTACAGTAGTGTGTTTGTGTGTGTGTGTGTGTGTGTGTGTATGTGTGTGTGTAACAAAAAGAGAGGTACAGAACAGTCAGAATCCAGCCTTCAACTTTTTGCCTTCAACAAAAGTGGTTTCATGTGTTTCTTGTTTTTGAACTATATTTATTGTAAAGCCTGACAAGAGCTGGTTACTATTTGTGCACAGCGACAAATAGAAATGAGATTACATTACTTTTCCATGTACAGATTGTGATGAGACATAGCTTGAAAACAGGAGTTCACGGAATGTATTTTCTCGTCCTCCTCCTCATATATGGTGTTTCTCTGATGCACAAGGTCTGTAGGTAACTAGTTGGGGTTTTGCTTTCACTTGCACAAACATGAGCAACCCACAGAACTTCTACAAGTAGGCCCTGTTTAGGTTCCCTACAGCTAGTACCTTGGCAGAAGTATAAAGAATGAGAAAAAGACAATCTGTTCTAACACCCTCTTTGAAAAGGCACAAATGCAGTCAAGCAAAGCAGTTACAGCTCCCATCACTGAAAACTGTAAGATTCTAGGAACGTCCTCAGAAAGCACATTTAGAGGGCAATCGGCGACACACTCCGGGTGAATAAAGCAAACTGGCTTTACATGACAGCACACAACCTAAGTGAATCTTAACCAGCCTGTGTAAGTTAGAAGTGGCAAACACTCTACAGAACAAATGTGAAAGTCTAAACTAGCATTAACATAGAAGTTTCTTGCATGACCTTTGTGTTTACATGTAGTACTGTAGATAAAAGTATCAAGCATTTATTGCATTCATTAGCATACTGGCAAACCTGAATGAACACACAGCCAGATGATTCAGACATTTATCTTACAGGCCAGGAAATTGTCTGACTGACCACCCCTGCACAACACATGTAGAATATACTTTAGGGTATAATTTGCACTGAATATATCTGATGTGCATCATGGAAATTGGTTGTAGAGATGTTGGTTATTTGCTCATTAACCTTTATTACCTTTATTGGGGGCAATCCACTCAGATGGGTGGGGTATAAATTATTATTATTATTACAAAACTGATGGTTGCCTTTTAGCTCTAGGCAGTTTCCAAGGGTGGGGATTACCTGACCTGGGTATGTTACTGGAGCTTGTCTGTGTGTCTACAAATTTGATAGTTTTAACAAGGTATTGTTTATTTGGTATTGTTTCTCAATCATCTCTTGTTTCTCTTGACCTAGGGATCTGGATTCAGTAACAGATTGCTGACAGCATCATAGTAATGCCCCCTTGTTTTAAATGCCAGACAGTGCTTTATACTGCTGCACACTAAGGGTGCATACTAAGACCAAACACTCATCTAATGGTGGTTTGTAATTCATTCATTCATTCAGCTGTCTGTCCTATTGTGGATGCTTTCACGAACCTCATCATCTTTGTCCCCAGCCTGATTTTTTTTGGTTTGGCTACTTCTGCATGGAATATACAGCTTGACTCAAGGGATAGGCTAGGCTAGGTAGCCTGCACTCGGCACTCTGGAACGGCTGCATTACCATATGGCTGGAAGCACTTTCTTTGCTAAGTATATCAGTGGGATAAAAATTAAAGGAGACACCAATTACCAACTCTGATCTCAAAAGCTGCAGATAAGACCAATCACCCCTTAAGGGTGATATTAAAACTCACTCTACTGAATATAAAGCATTAAAGAAGATGGCCTTTAGACAGACACTGAAAATGAGGGTGGCATTAGCCTGCATTATTCCGATCAGCATAGCCAACAAATCCAATCCTCCGAAGAAATGCTATTAGTGTCACCAAAAAAGAAAAAGGGGAGGGGGGGGGGGCTTTGTGCAAAGTCCCTGAAGGAAAAGAAGCAACTAATGTCATTAATGCGTTAACAGCCTCTGGTCACTTAACAGAGTGGTTTTAATAGGCTCTAGAGGGGAAACACGTCCAGCCCTTTTCAGCCAAAGGGAAGGTTAGAGCTGTGTGTGGGTTTTGAAGATAGTGGGTTGGAATCCTTGGGGATTTGCCTGCCTTGTTGTATATTTGCAAATGTCCTTTTAATAAAGCAAATGATGGCTAACTACAATTAAGTACCAAAGGTGGCTCTTTTAACAAGCACATGCCATTGCACTGATAGGTTTAATTACACTATAAAGCTCACCGGAAAACACTTCAGGAAAAAGATATAGGGGCATCAAGCTTTGCAAAATTAGTGTATAACAAATCACTGGTGATTTCAGCTTCCTGTCATGAGTATGCTGCTGCATTTAAATTCCGAGTCTCTTTAAGAAACTGGATTTTTGCTCACTAAGAAATTTTAAAAGCTCTTTGTGTTAAGAACTTTCCCTTGAACTATTTCCACACAGGCAAAAAAACAAAAACCCTTGTCTGTAAAATATTTGAAGGACCAGGCTCAGTCATGTTTAACTATTAACACTAGAGGGCAAAACAAAATCTTAGTATTTGGTAAAGTAACCCTCAGAAGCGGGAAACAAATTAATATTTTAAAATACAAAGTGCAGGTGTTAGAAATTTCTTTGCTTACAAAGCACACTGAAGTCACCTGCAGTATGGTTTCTGGGGATGTTATTTAGTTTAGTCCCAATGTATTTATTTATATTTTTTAGGTTTGTGAAGAAGTAGGTTGGTATAGAGCAGGGGAGGGGAATTTGTTGCTGGGCTGATGTTGCTGAAATGCACCTTGGACTCTCAGCCATTCTGGTTTGGGCTAATGGCAGGTTTAGTCCAACAGCATCTGAAGGGCCACAGGTTCCCCATCCATGGGATGCAAATCACTTAAGCGAACCACATTGCCTACTCCTGTCATAGCTGAGTATTTCAAATTCCCAGGTACCAGTAGGTAAGGTGCCCAGGCAACTGGTTATTATTATTTTTTTCAAGCTCCAAGCAACGCTTTCTCTTTAGTGCACACGACATCCACCTGTTCCTCCTTTGGAAGTGACAATGTGTTATGTCAGATGCATCTACAACTTATAACTGGGTAATGGTTTCTGACATTTATGTATCGCGAAGTGGCTACATATTTCTCCATTCTCGCGTCCCTGACAGCTCATGAAATTTCCTTGTCAGAATCTGCTACTTCCTTGCAAGGGTGGAAAGGTCTGATGAATGAGGAGACCCTCTAGGAAGGTGACGTAGGAGAATCACTTGAAGGTTTGAAGAGGCAGTAAAAGTATCTGACAGGGATAGGCCTAAGAACACCAGAAGTGGTGCATGAAGCAAAAGGTTTATGACCCAGAATATCTTTGTTCAGGCCTTTGGTTTTATGGTTTGGTCTTTTAAAAGGATAACACTGAGTTCATGTAAGCCAAAAGAAGAAATCCCAGGAAGCTGGTTGTAACTGCTAGTAGTCACCTACCAGTTTTTTAACCACCCTGTCTCCGAGTGCAGATATGGAAGGCAGAGATGATGATGATGATGATGATGATGATGATGATAATAATAATAATAATAATAATTTATTATTTATACCCCACCCATCTGGATGGGTTTCTCCAGCCACCCTGGGCGGCTTCCAACAGAATATTAAAATACAATAGTCTATTAAACATTAAAAGCTTCCTGAAACAGGGCTGCCTTCAGATGTCTTCTAAAAGTCTGGTAGTTGTTGTTCTCTTTGGTGGGAGGGCTTTTCACAGGGCGGGTGCCACTACTGAGAAGGCCCTCTGCCTGGTTCCCTGTAACTTGGCTTCTCACAGCGAGGGAACCGCCAGAAGGCCCTCGGCACTGGACCTCAGAGAGAAGGCAGAGAATGAGAGAGCTAGATGGTTTCCAGAGGGGTAGCCATGTTAGTCTGTTTCAGAAAAGAAACCAAACCAACTCAAAGAGGCTAATAGCACTTTAGTGCATGGGACCATTTTAATACCTTGCTTGTCCACAAGACCTTTCAGAACAGCAAGGGCTCAGGGTTGCCAATGTGCACGTACCCCGTGCTGCCAGGCAATATCCTTGGCAGTGGAGAGCAAAGCACAGGCGCAAACTTGGGCAAGCTATGGCGTGAGATTTGGGTAGTTCAAATCTGCTTGGCTCCTTTCAGCCCAGCAAAAACACCTGTCAGTCCGAAGTCCAACATAAGAAACAAGTCCATCCTTCAGCTCTGAGCCTAGCTCAGGGCAAAAAGGTGGCTTAGTATGCTCACCTGCAACCTAAGCCAGGTCCAGGCTTTTGGGGCCATAGACGAAGGTGCCTTTAGCTGCCCTTTAACTCCTATCCAAAGTGCCAGGGTCTTCTTCCTTTCCCTCTCCCACTGAGCCTAAATCTGCCCAGCTGCCCAGGATGAGGACACAAGAAGCTGCTTCTTCATCTCTTCACTCTTGTCATTGCTTGGATGTTCAGAGGTGGCAGGTGAAAAGGCAGGAGGCGGTGGGGGTTAACAGTTGGTCGCCTGCATGAATACTGGCCTCTGCAGGTGCCCAGTGGTGTCCACTCACGGCTCTGGCCTTTGGGGCTGAAGGGTACAGAAAGCAAGATCCCCACTAACTTCAGCTTCAAATACAATATGGGAATGCCAAGGCAGGAATTCTCAGATCTTCTGCTCTGAGGGCTCTCTTGAGACACCTGAAAATTCCTGAGGCCCACCAGTCAGAAAGCAGTTGCAGATGGAGCCGGAGTTCGGCGTAATTAGCTGGCAAGTACTGACATAATTTTTCTACTGTTATCTAACCCACTTTTGGAAATGGGAAACTTAAAAGGAGAGCGAGAGAGAGAGCGCACGCGCGCCAAGACATTTACGTTCGGGAAATACTGTACACAAATGCTACAGATTTGGAGGTTGTGAAAAAGTTGCAAAGTATTCCTACTCATTAGAGCTCCGCCCGTTCTTTCAGACAATACTAACTCGCCTGGACCTTGTAGCGAGCGAGCGTGTGCGCGCGCGCCTTGAAATGCAAGGCTGGAACATTAACTTGCGAAGCCCTGTAAGAGCTTAAGCGGCTCCTTTTGCTTGCTTAGAATTGCAACAAGCAGCCTTGCTCTTTCCATGAAGTTTGCTTTCTCTCCCCTCCGCCCTGCCCGGTTTTCCTACCCTCTTCTTTAGCTCTTGCTTTGAGAGGCTCGCAATGAAAATAATATGCGCGCTCTCTGCCTTTATCACTTTCGCTTTCCTACTTGTCTTGGAAAGCCGACCGCAAAACCTGCATTCAGGAGACGGGCTGCGGAGGCGGAGGAGAGCCGGAGAGCGGCACAGGGGTGGGGGCGCTCGTTGCTTTAGCGGATGTTACAGCGCATGCTCAAGCCTACACGTATGAGGCCGGGCAGCAGCAGCGGCTCTTGTTGCGCGCAGCCTGCTAGCGCTGAGCGGGGGACTTACGCGCTCCGGCTCGTGCATACTCAGCTCCGCGGGCCTCGCTCTCCGCCGATCCGCCACCAGGTTCATGGCCACTTGACTGTCCGTTTCTCTCACTGCGCGCTCGGTCCCTCCGCGCCGCTTCTCGTGGGGCTGCGCGCCTGGCGCTCCACCCCTTTCCTTTTCGTAGCCAATCCTCCTAATCTGGCCGGCGAAGGATAGAGCGGCCTCCGCGCGTGTCTTTCTCCTTGCAAGGCCCGGCTGATAGAGCCCAGAGCTGTTTGGTGCAAGTTTACGGTGCCCAGATGTAACGATACCAGGAAGTAATGCAGTGATCGATCCGTGAGAAAAATGCAAGCAGGGCTCAGGGCTTTTGCAGCGAATCGGGTTATTATGATTCCCCTCCCCCCAAGATTTTTTAAACGACCTTTTTATTTAGTTACTGGAAAAAAATTTAACCCTTCCTTTCAAATTCAGTGAGGCGAGGTAGTCGGAGCTCACTGTTCTTAGAAAGGATGCTTTGGCAGAAACTTCCTAGTCGTTCTGGTAATCACTCGCAAATTAACCTGCTGTCAAAGACTTTGAGTCTATAGCAGCAGAAATGGTTTGTTTCTGCATTGAAATAACCACCTCTCTTGGAAAGTTTCATTAATTTGATAAACTATTTCAGCACAACCCATATCCGTTTTACAAAGGTAGATCGGGACTTCTTGACACAAGAAGATTCCCTGAAGGAGATGAGCTTTGTCATGTGTGGTCCAAAGCTGTTTATTTCTTACCACTGTAAGCATGGAGTGCATTCAATGAACATCCAGTTTGTGTTTTCCTTCTAATGCATCAACCTCTGAGATGGAATGATGAGGAGCATCAGCTCATGGGTCATGTGGAAAAGAGTGTTATATATGCTAATATTAGTCTTAAATTACCCTGCCCGGTTACAGTAACCCAGACGGATAATAATTATTAAAAGAATACTCTGTTATCTAGATGATAGTGATGATAATTTGTTAAGATTGTATACTGCCATTCATCTGTAGATCTCTGGGTGCTCCACAGCACAACAATACAAGATAAAAACACAAGGTCCATGCAGATTCCAGGTAGGTTTTGATCCACCTCCTCATAGGAACTTGTGAACTTGGAGGTCCTGGAAATAAGCCTCTTGTAGTTTTTCGGAACTTTTGTGGACTTACTGAAAATGCCGGCTTAGAACTGAAAATACCAGGAGTTCTAGGCAAGACATATAGGCCTATGATGGAGAGGTAGGTCTTCATACCATCTTTGATGTCTGCATTCTCTTAGAGAACATTCTGCCCCAAAACTAGTAGTACACTGGTACCTTGGGTTACAGACGCTTCAGGTTACAGACTCTGCTAACCCAGAAATAGTAACTCGGGTTAAGAACTTTGCTTCAGGATGAGAACAGAAATCGTGCGACGGTGGTGCGACAGCAGCAGGAGGTCCCATTAGCTAAAGTGGTACCTCAGGTTAAGAACAGTTTCAGGTTAAGAACGGACCTCCAGAACGAATTAAGTTCTTAACCTGAGGTACCACTGTAGTTGGTTTCCATTGACTTTTCTACTTCGTGCCCCAACCAAAATTAATCTTCAGCTTTGTTAATATACCATAAAAACAGTCTAGGTTTTCTTTATTCTTGTTTTATACCTACCAAGGAACCTGTGTGTTTTGCCTAAGTATGGAGACAGGTATGGGTAACTAGATTTTAGATTTTCAAAAAGGTGGTTCAATCATTGCTTCTTCTTTGTCATAGACCCAGGTGCAACCCCAAACCAGCATAACAGGTAGGAGAGTCTCATTTGAATGTCTGCTACCTTGTAGCATTTCCCATCTTTAGACTGTCTAAATGAAGACTCCATAGCTTCAGCATTAGCATTAGCCAGTTCCTCCCCCTCTTGCCTTGTTTACCGAAGCCTGATGAAGGGTTCCAAAAAACTTGAAAAATTGCACAGTATTTTGTGACACATTTGTTGGCCTGAAATATTGCTCTATGTGGTTTTTGGAATTCATTTGTTTTATATATTTATTCAGGAATCTGTTAAGAACCTTCAAATGTAGAATGGTTCTCTAGTCTTTGTTGTCCTCTAGCATGGGTGGTGTTACTGACTCTGTGACATGCTCTATGGCCCAAGTGTCTAGCAGAGACCATGTAGCCAGACACAACCTCAGCTGTATCCTCATACATTTTGGTGTTTCTGGAGTCCAGCAATTAATCCATTGCAGACTGTGATTCACTACTAGATGAAGTTTAAAATCACAACTGTTTGGGAATAAATAACTAGTCTTCTTTTCACAGATACTAAATATTTGCAGTTCCCTGGAGCACCAAGTGTGACACACACACACACACACGTCTGTTGCTATTCCTGTTTCATAATAGTGTGTTACTAATATGCAGCTCAGCAGCAGTATCTGTAGGTTTCAGCTCTGATCAATAATGATGTTTAGATAACATCCCTTGAGGTTTTAAGCATTTCTCCAACGAGAACACAAGCTATGGTTGTTGTTTCTAGGGACAGTTTTTTATTTTTAAAGATCTGTGGATTGTAGTCTCCCATACTTTAAAAAAAGGACCACAAGAGAATATTTACAAGTCACAGGGACATTCAAGATTTATAAATTAAGACCCCACCCAACAGATTTTACCAGGCAAAAATAATCTTGCTGACACATAGTCTAAACAGTCTATGTGTTGTAATGGACTCCACTAAAGGTGTTTTCTTGATCAGATCATTTCCCCAAGTCAGGCATGTTACTCTACACAATTGAACGGAAGGCTCACGGTACTCATGACAGGGCAGTTTCATGACAGGAAATATTACTGAAGGGTTAAGTAAAAGTTTATGGCACTGTACCAGAGTCAGCATTTTGAGAGCGAAAACAATTGCAGTTCTCCCATTGCCTTGGTGGTAGGGCACACGGCTTTGCATGCAAATAGCCTCAGGTTTAATGCCAGGTATCTCCAGGTAGGGGTGGGAAAGACTCCTGCATGGAACCCTGGAGTGCTGCTGGTCAGTGTAGAGCAGGGTTTCCCAAACTTGGGTCTCCAGCTGTTTCTGGACTACCGTTCCCATCATCCCTGACCACTGGTCCTGCTAGCTAGGGAAGATGGGAGTTGTAATCCAAAAACAGCTGGATACCCAAGTTTGGCAAACCCTGGTGCAGAGTCTTGCCCAAGGCAACCCAAACTGGTAAATATTTTGAGAAGGCCCTAGAGCAGGCATGGCCAAACTTGGCCCTCCAGCTGTTTTGGGACTACGATTCCCATCATCCCTAGCTAACAGGACCAGTGGTCAGGGATGATGGGAATTGTAGTCCCAAAAAAGCTGGAGGGCCAAGTTTGGCCATGGCTGCCCTAGAGGATTGGGAAATGCAGATATTTTATCACCGTTATAATTTTTTTGTTATTTTATGTCAAAAGTCATGCCCCTCCTGTTGAAAGTACTCTGTGTAACAGAATTGCTTAGTTCCAGAATATGATACAATTACTCTATGGCAACTTGGGGGCAAGGAATATTGAAACAGCGTTCTAGTGTCTGAACGGTTGCCTCCCATCATTAGTAATACTTAGCATTTACAAAGTGCTTTCGTGTGTTCGAAGTTCTTCACTTAATTGCCTAGCGGTAATCCTTACTGTGAAAAGTAGGTCAGTGTTATTATCATCACCCATATTGCAAATGGAGAGTTGAAGCTGAGAGAGACGGGCTTGCCTAAGGACACATAGTGAATTCATGGCAGAGGTGTATTTCTATGTATGTTTAGTCAGAAGTAGGTCCCAGGGTTCGCTGGGACTTATTCTCTTGAGGTGATTTGTGTTCATAGAGGTGTAACCTTCCTTTCAGAGGTCTACTCAGAAGCAACCACTACTGAGTTCACTGGGACTTATTCCCAGGAACGTTGGTGTTGGATTGTATGCTTATGTATTATGAGAAATGTTATTATTAACGAATATGGCTAAATAAGGCCACAATATTGTTTTAATAATGCTCAGTGTCTGTAGCAGTCCTTTCCAATTTTGTCGGGGCTTTTCTGTATAATACAATGATATAAGTGACATCTGCAGAACAGGTTGTCATGGAAACGAAGTAGCTCATTTAAACATGCATTTACTTTGTCTGGTGGTTGACCAAAGGCAATGGGGGCAATGGTGGGGTGGGAAATTTCTGTATTAATGGTGAAACAAAATCCATCTTCCACTAGTCTGGATTCTAATATGGATTAGAAATAGTTTTTGCAGGATTTGCCCTGAGAGGGCTTGTTGGAACATTGGCAGAAGCAAGTTAGAGTAAATAGCAGTCTTCCGACCCAAACTGAGTATCAGTCCAGGGAGGCCTCCAAGTCACATGAAATTCTATCAGCCTTTGGCAATGGTTGACTGTGATTTGAATTCCAGTGCTATTGGTGTTAGATGTATAATAGGCTCACAAGTAGTTCTGAAGATAAAAGACCATCTCTAAGACTGCAGTCCTATACATAGTTGTCTGGGAGTAAGTGCCATTGAACTCGACAGGGCTTAATTCTGAGCAGACATAGCTAAGATTTCATTGTAAGGTGGAGTCTTCACTTATCTTTCATAGTGGCTTGAATAACAGCCTGGATAGCTCAGTTGGATAGGGCATGGTGCTGATATTGCCAAGGTTGCAGGTTTGATTCCTGTATGGGACAGCTGCATATTCCTGCATTGTGGAGGGTTGGACTTGATGATCCTCAGGGTCTTTTCCAACTCTATATGATTCAACGAGTCTTATTATTCTAGCTTACAGCATGATCCTAGCTATGCTGCAATCTTATGCCACTTACCAGGCAGTAAACCCTATTTTATTTAATGGGACTTCTGACCATAGGTGTGGTTAGAACTGTGGCCCTAGTCTCATTAAACTATAACAAGTGTGAAGAACCTTTGGCCCTCCAGATGTTGTTGAACTACAATGCTCATCAGCCCTAGCAGGCCTGGTCAATAACCAGGATAATGGGAAATGTAGTTCAGCAACATCTGGTAGGCCAAAGATTCCCCACAACTTGGCTATACCAATGTATGCCAACAGATATAATGGGATATACCTGACCGTTACAAACAGAAGGTATACTTTTGCTGAAGAAAGTTGCATCAAACACAACACAAAATAAGTATGATAAGTCTCAGTGTAACACTGTTCAGAATATTTTTATGGATATAAAATTACAGGAGGTTATTATTTTTTCTGTGCTATTACTGATTTTTCCCCATTCTTTGTGTTGGTAACCTGCATCTGTCTTCTCATTTACAAAAGAAATGCAAATGCACTATTAAAAACACAGTGTAAAAAGTTTGGCTATACTTAGAGAATAGTGCTAACTTTATACCCCACACCTAATTTCCTGGCCAGCTAATAATAAAAACAAAAAGCTTTAACAACAATGTATAGCCACTCATCTTCAGAGGGTGTTGATGCCATCTACAGACAAGCAGCTATCTTTACAACTCACACTTGTAAAAAGACTCATTTCTAATAAATATTGTAATGGCTTAATTAAATCGTGGATTTATTTATTGGAAAAATAAAGAACGATTAAGATGCATTTTCTTTAGAAAGATTAGGAGGTCAAAGAATCTAAGATATTATAACTCAAATATTTGATGAAAATGTTGCATAGCAAATGAAATCAGCATTTTTCTCACTTTTGGACATCTGGTGAAGCTTGCCTGTTAGTCTTATATGAAATCTTGTAGACTTTCATCCGACTTTTTGCCTTATATTCTTTTCTTATGTTAACTCCATATTCATTTGCTTTCTCCTTGCTTTTCCTGGGCTTGTTGGCATTCGGCAGCAGCTACAGCAGAGAATTATCAAGGCAATTGGGGCGGCGGCACTAAATATTTAGCTGGCTTTTTTTGCAGTTACACTCTTACTTTGCCCTCTTCTGAATGCAGCCTTGTACTTTCCTGCTAAGACCACTCCCCTTCCTGGGGGGGGGTGGAGTTGTGGGCGGGCATCTGGGACCTTACTGGGACCCGATAGGGGGCGGAGTGGTGCCGCCCGCATCATCGGGACTCCCAGCCGCATCATACCCCCCCGGCTGGCCAATCGGGTTAGCTGGGGGCGTGGCTGCTGCCATTTAAATCACTGCGCGGCTAGGGGGCGGCCTCCTTTCACCACCTTCTTCGGATCACCCAGCCCACCCACCCTCTTTTTATGCGTTGCTTGACTTTGGCCTTGCTATGGACTAACGTCGGTCACCTTATTGTTGAGGCCAGGTAGGAATTTTTCCACTAGGCAAACTGGCACCAGCCATTTGGTTTTCGCCTACCTTGTAGCAATTGTCACAACTTTGTAAGGTTAGGCGGTTAGGCATTGGGTAAGCATGGTTCATGGGAGGGGAGGTTGTTGCCTCCACCTGCCCCTCCTCGTTAAGGGTATATTGTTAAAGGGATCCGGGGGTGTGGATCCTGTCCAAAGCCTGGGCATGGGCTAGGGCCAAAGCCTGGGCATGGGCTAAGACCACAACCCCATTGGGGAGCCTGGGGGTGCTCTTAATTGATGTATATCATAGGGCACCCCCTATCGGTAGTTGACCCTTAAGAGACTTCCTATGGGCATGCAGGAGTCAGGATATAGTCTGGTTTCACCCAATGCCTAAGCCAAACCGCTCACATCTGTAACCAATAAAGTTGTGGCCTTATTTATCCCATTAACTCAAAATATTTGCATCTGTGTGTTTATTAGCTAATGGGAACTTTGGGCCCTGGGGCCTCGCTACACAAAAAAGTTTTAGTCCCCTTATCTTACTTAGAGGTTTAATTTATTCAGGTGACCATGTTCTTTTCTGTAAGCAATCTTTACTTGCTTGTGTCTTTATCCCCCCCAATTGAGGACAAAGGAAAAATTACAAGGGTATCTTCACTTTCTGGTGAGCCTTGTTTGAGCTCAGGCAAAGAGATCACTAAACTTCTCACTGTGCATTCTGCCTTGGTCAAAAAATGGATCTCACACAAGTAAAGGGAAGCTCATTAACATTCATAAATTTTAGACATTTTGGTACCTGAGGTCTCCTCCCCAGTAGGGAAGAATGGATGAGGGAAAATCCTCATCAGGATCAAGGGGGAAAAGATTGATATTGGAATCTGCTGCCCTGGAGGATCTTACTGCTTGAGGCAGTTTCCTCACCTTGCCTCATGGGTGAACTGGCCCTGATAGATTTTATATCCTCTTCTTGTAAGTTTGTGGCTGGTTTAATTAGAATAGCTTTCCCTTCTTTTACTGCAGTGTTTCCCAAGCTTGGGCCTCCAGATGTTTTTAGACTGCAACCCTTATCATCCCTGACCACTGCTCCTGCTAGCTTGGGATGATGGGAGTTGTAGTCCAAAAACAGCTGGAGACCCAAGTTTGAGAAACACTGCTTTACTGGCTTTGTAGAGTTATCTTGTGTGTATGTAAATATAAAGTAAAAAAGGGGAGAGTGACATTCCAATTGTAAACACATATGTGATAACTTACTTCATTTGAATTTAGTTCCAAGTAGGTGTATGAGGGGGATTGTAACCTGGTTATGGATTTACTGAATGTGGGATGTGGCTCACAGTCAAGATAAACACTTGCAGCATGCTTCAATTATAAAAAGCTATACATGCTTATAAACACTAGATATTGGATAAGTAGGTTAAATACAAAAGTAATCTTCGACAAATAAAACATGGCATTTTGAAAACATTAATTAAATTCCATCATTTGCTGCCTTCAAACGCATATACTCAAACAGTAAGTTATTTTCGAAGTGGTTTGTATACTAGCATATTATCAGCAACTGGAAAATGCACAATATGTTCCTGGCAAAATATTATGAAAATACTTTGTTCATAAAAGAACTCCCCAACCCAATTAATATATGAGCTCCCAAACCCAATTAATACATAATAAGCAGTGCTGAGGCTCCCCACAGTACTATAATTTCCCAGAACTGGAAGAGGGTGGGTTACCAGAAAATTGGTGGTGGTGATGGAGAGGTTTTAAGGTATTCCTTTAAGACATTTGGCTACATTTTTATGTATTTTATTATAGAGCAATGGAGAAATAAAATTTATGTATGAAATTTAACCTTGTGTTTGCCTTGAATTCATTTTAATGTGTTTTCCCTTGACTTCAGTCTTTCCTTCCCCTTGTGACCTGGAAAGATGTGTCCCTCGTCCACTGCGATGACTTTGACTGGCTCTGTGTGTGAGGCAGGCAGTTTTAAGGCCAAAGAGCTTAAAGAAGTAAATCCTATTTTCCTCCTTCAGATAAAAATAGTGGTTCCAATGGGAGTACAGAATTCTGTTTAACGGTGCTAATTTTTAATGGGGGAATTTCTCCTGTAAATACAATGAAATAAAAACTGAAATGGTCAGGAATGTGTTTTTTGACAGGTTCAGTAATTCTCCCTCCCTAATATGATATGTATAATATGAGGTCTCCATAAATAATTTGTGAGGCTTTTTGAGCTATTGCTGATGAGATACATTCTGATGATAAGGACCGTAAGCCTAAAAACCAGTTACAAGTGACCAATCCCTAGGAATTCCAATTGGAATACTCATGAGCAAGTCAGTACAGAATAGGAGATGGGCCATGTGGTCCTCAGTATCTTTTTTACCTCTTAACAACTAAACAACAACAACAACGTTTTGCCCTAGAGTTAGATATGGATTTTGCAATCGGCTTCCTTTTGACTTAAGGTGAGTACCTGCACATCTGGAAACTTTGGTTTCCGTACTCAAAAAGCTGTGCTCGCTGCTGCCCTGTTCACTTCAGTGGGGCTCGTATTGGCTGAGCGGTTGGAGGATTATACTTGTCTGGGAGGTTTGCCAGATTAATTTGGCCCGCTGCCTGTTGTTCAATCTGGAGCTACTGAAGCCCTCGGTTTCTCTGGGACCCTGCTGCCAGATATTCCATATGGGATGCCCAGAAATATAGCCTAACATTAGGGAGATTTAGTTCTCCCATGTCTCGATGGGCCTATACATTTTTAATGACAATTCTTGTTTTTTGCCTACCAAATGAACCTTGAAAAGGTCTTGTGGAGCTTATTAAAGTGTGAGGTTTTAAATTCTCTGAAACAGTTGTAGTTGATATAAGAGACTAGGGAGGGTATTTATTTTAGGAAGCGGTATTCTTTCCATAATTGGTGCAGGGAGATTCATCCACCTATGCAGATGATCCTTAACATTCAGTGGCATCAGGTTTGTACTTGGTTGTTGAATGGCTTCATTAGCATCTTAAAACTAGAATAAGGACGTGTAGTGTTAAGGGCTTAAGCAGGTTTCTTAGTCATAGATGTGCTGTGCTAAAAGAAACTGCAGGAGCAGAGCAAAACAGAGGGTGTTTGTTTTTTGCTATTTGCTAGACCCTGCAGTCTGATGCACACAGTGCTGATGTTGGTGCAAGTTATTTGCATGTAATGGCACAACCCAGCAAAAGGAACTACCCATGTAACTGGGGCTTCCCTCTGATTGACTATGCAAAGCAAAAGTTTCCCTATGGCCGCAGAGCTTTCCAAGTCCATAGCCAGCAAAATATGCAAACTCCATATATTTTGCAGCTGCTTCCCTTTTCTTCTGCTGCCTCCCAGTCTCGTACCCCTGCTCTGTTCCTCTATTCTCAGTTGACATCCTCAGAGATTGCTTTGCATGCACAAGGAAACAGACAAGAAGAATAGGTGTGGCCTTCTTCTAAAATTTAGGCCTGTAATAAACGACAATGGTTTCTAGACAAGCAAGTTCAGGACATATTTTGGACGGAAAGGTCATAGCTCCGTGGTAGAGCATTGCTTGCTTGCATGGTTCAGTCCTTGGCACCTCCAGCTAGGGATCGGGATGTCTCCTGTCTGAAACACTGGAAAGCCACTGCTTGAAAGGTAGACAGGACAGAGCTACATGGATCAATGGTCTGATTCATGGCTTGTCCACACTTCTGTCTGTCCTGCCCCTTCTCCCCAGGAAAATCTGCTCTTTACTGTGAATTGGAACAAACGCCAATCTGGTTTTCCACATCAATCAGTTTGAGGAAAGAATGTGCTTTAAATCTATAGTTTGTACACAGCCTGGGACTTGCACAGCAACAAAGCTCATTGGATGACCTTTTGATACAGTATAATGCAGCTTCCTCTGTTCCTAATTTAATGAATTATGGTGGGAGCAATTTAAAGAGAAACTGGTACATGTGCTGGCTTTTCTTTGGAATCCTTGGATTTAACTTAAATTTATTGCTACAAATTGCTTTCAGCCACTAAAACAGGATTGCTTACACTTGAGTAGATTTAAGCTTATTTCAATCAAATGGGAGTGGTTGTGCTTCTGAGTGATAAGTTTAGGTGAGCTGTATTTCTAAACATTACCCCTCCCCTTTCCCTCAAGGCTCTTATAATTTTAACAGATACATGCTAAGCAAATTCAACAAGTGAAACTTATCTCAAAACTGCACTTCCATTTTGGGAAAGCTTCTCTGTTGCCTTTTTTATGTTCAAGACAATCAACTTGCCTGTGTTTGAGCAGGAGCTAATATTAAGTCTCTGCTCTTGTTTTACAAAGCGTTGAACCCTGTACTCATCACAAATGGTAGGAAGAACAGGATTGTATCTTTATTCCCCTAAACAATGCAGCCATGTTATGCTGAACATAGGATCAAACTACACAGCTGTATTCTTTCAGCACAACCCTATGGAGGTTTTCTTGAAAGGAAGGAAGTTCCACTTTCATGTAAATGTGTATGGGACGGCAGACTTGTACACGGTTACCTTGGAAGTGACTGAAATCAGTGTCACGTATTTCTGTGTTGATATGCATAGTATTGAGGTGCATTTTATACTGGATATAGCAGGCATACTTATGAGTAAGTTCGAAAAGAAGGTATGACTGTCTGCATTTTTGTTTGTAATATCTACAACAGCTTAAAGCCTCACTGAAAGGAGTACAGTCGTACCTCAGGTTAAGTACTTAATTCGTTCCGGAGGTCTGTTCTTAACCTGAAACTGTTCTTAACCTGAAGCACCTCTTTAGCTAATGGGGCCTCCTGCTGCCGCCGCACCGCCAGAGCACGATTTCTGTTCTCATCCTGAAGCAAAGTTCTTAACCTGAAGCAGTATTTCTGGGTTAGCGGAGTCTGTAACCTGAAGCGTATGTAACCTGAAGCGTATGTAACCTGAGGTACCACTGTATCAAATTGTGAAGTATGTCCCAATGAGCTGGGGTGCTGAAATTTGGGGTACATGTTATGAAGGTGTCCAAATAATAATAATCATAATAATAATTAATGGACTCTTGCACAACAATCCTTTCAAAATGTGGGGTGAGGAGCTATTGGTGCATCCCAAATACTGTAGTCAAGCTACTTCTAGAAAAATGAAATTTGGTACAGTACTGTATTGCAAACAGGACTAGATATCGGAATGACCAGAAAATGCTAAAAAGAAGGCAATTGTATGTCTCTGTGAATTGAGGCCAGGAGATGCCCTGTCTCTCATTTTCTAATTTAACCTTAAAGTTTCTTACCTGCCCCACACCTTCATAGGAAGTAGTGGACCCATTAGTTTGTAGGAGGGCAGGGTGGTGTGGTGGGGGCGGGAATAGGCTTCGGGGAGTGAAATTATGGTCAAGGTACTTCCATGACACAGAAAGTGGAAACATCATTCACTCTCTGTCACAAGTAAAGTTATTATAAAATCCTGAACAGTGGAATGGAATGTACCCATCAATTCATATAGGAGCTGCCTGCTCAGCGTGATCTCCATTGCATCTGATCTAGGTGGACCAAGATCTGAGTCGGTGTTGGGCAGTTTCCTACGTTCTTCAGACTGGCTGGGTGTGGGTGTGTGCACACAATTGAAAACATGGATAGATCCCGTGCACCAACATTAAAGTCCCAGTCAAGTTTTAGTGGCATTTGCCTCTAAGCTATGCACTGCCTTAATAACCAGACGCGTTGCCTACACCTGCATAGGAGTTGTGGGCAGGCCGCTTTGGAACCGCAGGGCTTCATTTCTCGTTAAGTCGCATGCGCGAGATTTCAGCAAGCGTTCCCGAGGATGAATCGGCCGGTGAGGGGGAAAAAACAAAACAACAACCCTAGAGCATGCGCAGTGAGGCCGCCTTAGCGGAGGCGATAGGCCAGTAGGTGACATGTGCGTTTAGCGCCTCCCAGTCCCCATCCCTCCCTCCCTCGCTTGGCGGCGGCGCCGAGATCAGCACCAGCCATGGCGGCGGAAGGAGGAGCGGCAGCTCTGGCAGAAGCGGCGTCCGCCGACCAGTTCCGCGATCTCCTGCAGCAGCCGGGAAGGTATGTTGTTGCTGCCGCCGCCGCCGCCTTCCAAGCTCGGCTCCGAGGCTGGCAAACAGCCAGGAAAAGGAGCCGCAGCCGAAAGCGAGTGGTGCAGCAGCAGCAGCAGCAGCAGCGCCCGCTGCCAGGCCGGCGCTCCGCATTCACACGTTCACTTGATGCGGGTGTCCATTCCGACGTTTTGGGCCGCTGAGCCGAATGGGGGCTTTCTCTCCAGCCAGCGTGGCTAGGAGTTTAGCCGTCGTTATCCCGCCTTGTTCGCTCCCCTTACCCTTCTCACGATCGAGAGGGTTGAAGGGTGGCAAGAGTTCTTCTCCTGTGCGGGGATAAATAAGGCTTGAAAGTCCTACTTCTGAGTAGACGGGCTTCGGGGGTCGTGCTCAACGCCGCCGCCGCCCTGCTGAAAGTAGGCTTAATTTGTGCGCAGTTTTACTTCCCAGAAGTGTGCGCTTTTAGGGTCCAGTCCATAATCGTGTGAAATATAAAAGCGCCTCTTGAGGACACGTGTGTATGGGGGCGGGGGCGGGAGCATGGTCTTGGCTCCCCCACAGGACAGAAGTTAATGAGCAGGTCAGATCACATAAATGACACTGTATCAGACTTAAGTGCTGGTACTTTTTAAAAAAGGGATCTGCACACTTTTCCTGATGTATGAGTTTGCAGGCTATAACTTTATAGTATTAGAATGTCCCCCCCCTTTTTTTTTACTATCCTGCCCAGTGTTGATAAAGGTGAGACAAAAGTTCTGCAGATGCCTTCCTTTATGTGCTGAGTGCAATAGAGGGCTAGATTGCTATGTTGCTCCTCTGCCAGCTCATCCACTTGCCATCATGTATTTCTGGTTTGCCTGTGGCTATGAGACTAGTGTTTAAACACAAGGTTGATACGCATGTATGGGAGAGATTTACACACCCAGCCAGGAGGGAAAGATGCCCCTGGCCTGTGATTGGGATTTCTCAAAGAACCGTTGATGATGTAGGAATATTCTGTTGCCAAATCATAAAGGGGATTTAAAAACACTATGGATTTCTGCTAGCATGACCTGTGAAAAAGACCAAGAGTGTTGGAAAGGAAAGCCCCAGCCCTAGTTGTTAGCAACTTTTCTCTGCAGAACCTCTATGACTGCCAGGACCCTTATTTATCCACCCCATGGAATGATTATGGGGTATAATGGAGTAACATGAGGTGAATTAACAGGTTCATTTTGTACCTTCTAGTGTGGCTAGAATTGCTGGGGAATTGCTAGGTTGGAAGTCTTGGCTATGCAATCTCCCACTGAGGGGCAACACATCATGGTTGTAAATTACAGTGGTACCTCAGGTTACATACGCTTCAGGTTAAGAACTTTGCTTCAGGATGAGAACAGAAATCGTGCTCTGGTGGCGCTGTGGCCCCGGGAGGCCCCATTAGCTAAAGTGGTGCTTCAGGTTAAGAACAGTTTCAGGTTAAGAACGGACCTCCAGAAAGAATTAAGTACTTAACCCGAAGTACCACTGTACCTAGAATATGAAAATGGGATGTGTGGCAGTGAGCAATAATTGAATTTGGATCACTGCCTTGTGTAGAACCAGAAGGCAGCTCATGGGGAGCATTGGCTTGCCATACACTGTACTGTGATATGAGCAATACTTGTGGCTGTGTACTCACTGTCTTTTCTTCTCCCTTTGTAGCAGAGGTGAGCAAATGAGTAACTTTTCAGTTCACCCTAGTTTCCCATTTTGTCTGAACCAGGAAGCTATGGTTAATGGCTTTGTTCCAAACCAGGATATTAAGCCATGGTTTGAAATTGTCTCAAAATATTCTAATGCAACCAGAGGCAGTTAACTATAGTTTCCAGCTTCTGGTTAACAGAAAACTTCCTCCCTGTCTCTTCTTGCTTGTGTAAAGGAAGATGTGCACACAGCTTGTTCGTATCTTGGCTTTTTAAGCTGACGGAGAACAATCTAAATGCAGCCATGGAGTCAGATTGTTGGTCTGTTTGGCCAACTAATCTCAGTTTTGACTGGAAGTGGTTCTCCAGGGTCTCAGGCAGAGAGAAACCTTTTCTGTCCTCTTCCCGAGATCTTTTCATGTGAGATAACTAGTGATTAAAGCTAGAACCTTTCACTGTGACTCTGATTGCTTTTATTTTACATTGTTTTGCTGGCATCTGACCTCTCTGTTTTCCCTGTTTATTTCATCACAGGTCTTTAGTGGTGGTTCATTTTTGGGCCCCATGGGCTCCTCAGTGTGTTCAAATGAACAGTGTCATGGCTGAGCTAGCAAAGGAGCATCTCCAGGTTGCATTTGTGAAAGTAAGTTGAACTGACATTGTGTTATCTGCTTTTGATCTAACATGAACACTTGCTGTATGCATACTGGGAAAAGGTGGAAGCGTAACTACAGTGGTGCCCCGCAAGACGAATGCCTCGCAAGACGGAAAACCCGCTAGACGAAAGGGTTTTCCGTTTTGGAGGTGCTTCGCAAAACGAATTTCCTATGTGCTTGCTTCGCAAGACGAAAATGTCTTGCGAGTTCCTGCGGGGTTTTTTCCCTCCCCCCCCCCCCTTTTTCCTGATGGCTAAGCCGCTTATCAGCTGATCCGCTAAGCCGCTAATACTGTAGCGCTAATCCGCTAATGGGCTTGCTTCGCAAGACGAAAAAACCCGCAAGACGAAGAGACTCGCGGAACGGATTCTTTTTGTCTTGCGAGGCACCACTGTACTCTAGCTGCTCCTACATTGCTTAAAACCTTGGAACTGGGCAACTTGAGTCTATTGTGGCTTTGCAATTGCCTTGTTGTTCTCTTTCCTTGGTAGTACAGTGGTACCTCGGGTTACAGACGCTTCAGGTTACAGACTCTGCTAACCCAGAAATAGTACCTCGGGTTAAGAACTTTGCTTCAGGATGAGAACAGAAATCATGGTGCGGCAGTAGCAGGAGGCCCTATTAGCTAAAGTGGTACCTCACGTTAAGAACAGTTTCAGGTTAAGAACGGACCTCCAGAACGAATTAAGTTCTTAAACCGAGGTACCACTGTAAGTGTCATAGACTCTCCTATTCCCTTACTTTAAAACTACAATAACTTATTAAAGCTAATTGGTGACAGCGTCAAGAGTAGGGGCAATGCTTAGAAGCCTAGGAAATGCCACAGTCTGTAAAATTATCTCATGAAAGTCAGTGGGAGGTGATAGAAAGAAATGTCTTTTGCGATGGGGAGGTGCATGCATAGAATCATAGACTTGTAGAGTTGGGAGGGACCCTGAGGATTAACTAGTCCAACCCCCTGCAATGCAGGAATATGCAGCTGCCCCACACAGGGGTCGAACCTGCACCTTTGGTGTTATCAACACCATACTCTGAGCTGCACACACACACACACACACACACACACACACACACACTCTTATGCCCTGTGATCAAATCTCCTACTAGGTGTGGAAAGCAAATCTGGACCTGGAGAGTGGGGCCTGTGCCTTGATGCTGATGGTGGTATGGATGATTGGGAGAGGAGAAATCTTCACAGTATGTGAGGAGGGAGAGAACCTCTCCTTACTTCAATGCTGTGGTTTTTGGTTGCCTTAGAAAACGCTGAGATGACGCTTACTTTCTGGTGAAAGCATGGACTCAGTGGTTGTTTGCAAGCATCAGTATAAAAACAGGAGGTAGTGTTCTGTAATAAGGAAAGCTGATAGAAAGAGGTCTGGTGAGACATAAGTACTCTATGGCTTAGATCTGAGGGTGCGAGCAGGTCTAAGAAGCTTGGTATTCAAAATGTTGACATAAAATAGCCATCTAAATCTTTGATTGCCAAGTATCCAGCTATAATGCTAATACTCTTTTTTTCTCATTTAGTTACTTGAGCTAGCACTTTTAATACAACTCCCAGTAGCTTTTCTTCCTGTAATGCAATTGACTAAATCCTGATCTTCTTATCTGAGGGATTTAAGAGAGTAATACTACTCTTTAAAAAAGCGCCCCCCCTTGTGTGATTTGATGTAATGGTGCTGCTGGTTGGGCAAATAGATATTCTCTTAATTTGTGTTTTAGCTACTGATTTCAGCTAACAAAGATACGTATGTTTTTGGGTTTGCATAATTATGTATGGTGGCTGTCTTCCTGTAGTAGATTGAAATCTGGATTTGTGTAATAATACTTGTATGTCCCAATAACAGCACTCTGGTAGGTAGGAAAAGAAAAATGCACTAGTTACAAGTGCTGTTCATCAACCCTTCATCAGTAGTTTGGATTAAAACACTGTGGTGTTGAAAAACAAACATTAAACTTTTGTGTCAGTATTCCTCAGCTCCATGCTTTAGGAATTCCTCAAACCATGATGAGGTGTCAATTGCCATGTGGCCTACCCTCTTAATTAACCCCTCTGCTCATGGAAATATCTTTGCAAGATACCTTGTTAAGGGTTGTCCTGAGCCACTGTGTCACTGGCCTGCTTCCTCGTAGTTGACCGTTGACTGCAACTAATGTGAGACACAAACTTGCCCCTGTGTATGACCAGTTGATTTGCTTGTCCACCAACTCCTCACAGTGCTTTGTGCCATATGAAAATGTTACAGTGGTTGAACTGTTAGTGCCATTCAAAGGGAGGACCCAGGGTTCAAATCCCTAGTCAGCTATGAACTTCACTGGGTGACCTTCGGCCAGTCATTACCTCTCAGCCTAATGTACCTCACAGGATTGTTGTGGACTTTAAATAAGGGGGAGAGCCATGTATACCACTCCAATCTCATTGGAGAAAAAGTTGGGATACAAATGCAATAAATTGATATTGGCCCAGTTTGCATGTTACATTGAAACCGTCGTTAAAAACAAACTGTGGGAATGTTTGTGTTGCTGAGAAGTTCCTACTTCTCTGCAGGGAAACAAGCAAAGGTCCGGATTGTTTTGCAATCTGAACTCAAGACTCGTGGCTTATTTCTTTCCAAGCAAAACCACAAGCGGTACCCAAGATTTGCTCTTGGCCTGCTTCTTGTGATTTGTCTCCTGGCGGTGTGGCATCAGCAGGAACAGGAAAGTAGTGGAATGAAACATTTTCAGCAGCGTACACTAGCACAAGGTGTGTTTATATTAAACTACAGTTCGTTTTTAACTGTGGTGTAATGTGTTGTGTGAACTGGGCCATTAAGATGCCCCACCATGGCACTTAGAACATAAATATCTGTGACTGCAGTGTTTCAGCCAAACAGCTTTGGTCTTGATGTATGGTATGGAACAGAACTCTGCATTATTGTACTAGTAGTTCTTGTAGTTGAGTAATGTGTCATTAAGTCACTATTAGTAACAGTTAGCTACAGTAAGTAAAGTCCCATCATTGTGCAAGTCTATAATTGTATTGCCTGAAGTCAAATTAATTATAAAATTAATATGTTTGCGTGGTAGCGATTAACTGAAAATAGATGGGGCTTTCAGTGAGTTACAATGAGGAAAGATGAAACATGAAAGTACAACATCAGTTATGCTAAACAGAAAAGAAAAGAGAAAAGAAAGCTTATTGTCCGTGTTTGCTAGAGATGTAGCTGATTTGCCTTCTGTAGCTCTGCCACCTCAGAATGGCTAGCTACATCTGTGGCATGTAATCTTTTATTGTAGTAAGAGGTTTTTTTTAAAAATGCATTAAAATACTATAGAAACCACACCACAAGTAGTCCTAAACAAAGTGAGGGCAAAAAAACATAAATAAAAGTCTGCCTTCTTGCTGCTGCTGTTAAATTTACTGCCTGCCCTCCACCAGCAGGTTGAGTTACAACAATTTAAAATTCAGTATTGAAAAGTATCAAAACAAATTTCAATCACAGGAATAGTAAAGGTAAAGGACCCCTGACAGTTAAGTCCAGTCGTGAACAACTCTGGGGTTGTGGTGCTCATCTTGCTTTACTGGCCGAGGGAGCCGACATTTGTCCGCAGACAGTTTTTCCGGGTCATGTGGCCAGCATGACTAAGCCGCTTCTGGCGAAACCAGAGCAGTGCACGGAAACGCTGTTTACCTTCCCGCTGAAGCGGTACCTATTTATCTACTTGCACTTTGATGTGCTTTTGAACTGCTAGGGGGCAGGAGCAGGGACCGAGCAATGGGCACTCACCCCGTCACGGGGATTCGAACTGCCGACCTTCCGATTGGCAAGTCCTAGGCTCAGTGGTTTAGATGACAGCGCCACCCACATCCTGAAAATGCACACCAAGTTTCAAAGCCAGGGTGAAGAGGTGCATCTTCAGCATTTGCTGAAAACTGTATAATGCTAATGAACTTCTGGAGCAAAGGAATTCCACCACTTAAAGGCTGCCACCACAGAGAACCGTACCTAAGATGTTGGTGTTGAGGACTTTTCAAACATTGATCCCACATATATACTGAGATGATTCAGTTATGTTGGGATGGAGTTTGTCATGAGCACCTGGACACTTGGGTCACCTCTAGGCGCCACTGAAATAAGCAGAGATGCTTACTGTAAGAGTCAAATGGCTAGGCACAGGAAAACCTGCACAATAATGTTCCATTTCCCTAATAGTAGGAAATATTAAAGCTTTATGACCTAACAACAGAAGGGTGGGAAATTGATCCTGCTCCATGTCCTGATCATACGAACATAAAAAATTAAACTTAGCTGGAATTGCTATCTTTCCACAGTCAAGGTTGTTTTCTTTGTTTTATTTGCACCTTAAGTAATACGCTTTACAGTGGTACCTCGGGTTACATACGCTTCAGGTTACATACGCTTCAGGTTACAGACCCCGCTAACCCAGAAATATTACCTCAGGTTAAGAACTTTGCTTCAGGATGAGAACAGAAATCGTGCTCCGGCGGCACTGCAGCAGCAGGAGGCCCCATTAGCTAAAGTGGTGCTTCAGGTTAAGAACAGTTTCAGGTTAAGTACAGACCTCTGGAATGAATTAAGTACTTAACCTGAGGTACCACTGTATTGAAAATTTGCATCGACATGTACTGATTTTTTGTAGTTTCAGGATAAAGTGCAAGATGTCAATGTGACTTTGGTCTCCTAATTGATCTCACTTCACCCCTAATGTCTCATTACCCTTAATCTTCACAACAGATAGTCACTGGGTGTGCTTTAAAGTTCAGGTAGCTCATTCTGTCTTGCTGTTTCCACTTACAAATCTCCATGTATGCGTGACATGAAATTCACTCGGTTTAAGACAGCTCTCACGTGTAAATGTTGACAGGCCTCCCAAATGCTGTGAATCTCCAACAATGAAGAACATGAGAAGAGCCAGTCAGACATCTAGACCAGCTTCCTGTTCTCACAGTGGTCAGCTAGATGCCTATGGGGAGCCTAGGAGCCAAGAGCTGACCGCAGTAGCACTCTCGCCTCCTGCATTTTCCAGCAATGTGTATGCAGAACCATACGTCTTCCAAAAGAGAACCTCAGTTCTAAGGGCATAGAAACATAGGAAGTTGCCTTACACTGAGTCAGACCCTTGATCTAGCTAACTCAGTATTATCCACATTTTCTGGCAATGGCTCTACAGGATTTTAGGCTGGGTTCTCTCCTTGTCCTACCTGGAGATGCTGAGGATTGAACCCTGGGGCTTGCTGCATGGAAATCAGATGAGCATGGCCCTTCCCCAGCTTAGAAACCCCAAAGAATACTGTGTTTAAAATATATCTGTTTTAGGATATCCACAAAACTCATTGGAGATATCGGCATTCACATGCTAACGTCAACATTCACCAATATTTCAGGCATTCACACATGTGTATCACATGCCAGAATTAATGTGCTCTTAAGCAAACTACCCTGTTTGCCTCCCGTTTCCCAACAGTCATATAGTCCTTTATAGTTGGATCATATGTGTCTCCTGTGTTTGTAAATGGAAATGTATTTGATATTTGCATTTTCTACAATTTTGTATTTGATGATCTATTTAGGTTTCAGGTCAGTAGTATACTAATATCTAGCAGTCTTGCAGGAGTTAAAAACAAAAATTTAGCAGGCATCAATAGTTTATTGAAGAAATACTCCTTTTTTGCTTCATAATTTGCAGAAGGCTGCAAATGTCAGTCATGATGTACTGCCTCTTGAAATTAGTCAATAGAGCAAACAGCAAGAATTGCTGTGGGCAGAAAATAAGCACTGTAATCATGACATAACTGGGGTCAGTGATTTATGGATTTCAATATAGTAGTAGCTGCATATGATTGAAAATTTACTAGGTCACTAGTGCACCAAAATTTTTATTCACAGCCTCCAGGCATCTTTTGAAATGTGCAACAAAATAAAAACCTCTGAACCTGTTTTGACACTGCAGGCTCAGTAGATGACAAGCCTTCCCTGTGAGTTTCATTTAAATGCAAATGTGTCACAAACTTTTGCACTGAAATCCTTTTTAAACATTTAACATGACTAAAAGAACAGTGTAGACAAGATCAGCCAGCACAATCTAAACTATAAATAAGAGCTTGGAAACAAAAGATGTTTTATGTTTGTTTGTTTTTAAGCTGGAAGCTGAAGCGGTTCCCGAAGTGTCTGAAAAATATGAAATTACTTCAGTCCCAACATTCTTGTTTTTTAAGGTAAGCCTTTTTTTAGTTCGCTTACGTCCATGGATGCTTATGATGTTCTCTGTTCTCAGTGCTGGTGTGATACTTTGTTCAGAGGTAACATTTGATTAATTTAGGAATGCTGGGAATTGCATTCGTCTTAGCCATGTGGTGAAGGCCCATTTCAAAAAATTTGAAGCTACCCTACGCTGTAACTTGCAGAAACATTTTTTTGAGAAATACATTCTGCATCACCAGGCAGTTCCTGAATTTGAAACCTTTTAACACTGTTGGATAGTGATGTGGAGATGACTATTGATTGGTTCCTAAGCTCGTTGTGGTGATTCGTCCAAAATCCTTTTGGCAGGTAATAATATTGTTGTTAAAGCGAGTTCTAACAAAATTCGATTCACCAAGCGCAGAGCTTGGGTTAGTTAACCTACTACATGTTCTGGACATGTGTGTGCTCCCTTCAGTTGTGTTAGCCCTATAGAAATGAGATTGTACACCAGTAGCACTCAGTGGATTTCTCTGGGGGCTTTTAACCTGCTTTGACTTGAATCCTACAAAATAACCCTTGTATATGGTCTAGCGAGAGAGAGAGAGTATGTGTGTTCAAATTCCAGTAGCTTTTTAAAGACTGTGCTTGTGAAGTTCATAATGTTTGCCCAAACTGCTGTTCTCTGTTGGTAGAATTCCCAAAAGATTGACCGATTAGACGGTGCTCATGCACCAGAACTGACCAAGAAAGTCCAGCGCCACGCCTCCAGCTCAACCATTCCGCCTGGCTCTAATGACAATGTGAAAGAAGACCTGAATGTGCGACTCCAGAAACTGACAAATGCTGCACCTTGCATGCTGTTTATGAAGGGAACACCTCAGGAGCCTCGTTGTGGTAGGAATTGTCTTAAATTTATATTTTATTCAGCAGGGCTTGATACCTAAGGAGTACCTAACGATATTATATCTTACTCTTTCTATCTGAGTGGCTTCTATTCTTGTCACCATTGTTGGTCCATCCTTTGCGACAAATGGAACTGTTGTCCTAGGCTCCAGAGGGGATAAGTCGATTGGCATAGTGCTGTTCCCCTTCAAGGCTGCCTTGTACCCTGTTAGCTGCAGCCATGCTATAGCCTTTGTATTGGCCCACCATCTTGTTAGATTCCGAAAGGTAGAATATGGCTGCTAGATCAACAGTTGGTTAGGCCAGAGGTTTAGGGCCTTAGAGTGGAGTTGGAATGGAGATGGATGGAGAATAACGGTGATGCAAATATAGGTTTCCACTGTGTCCAGGGCACCTAGCAACTCAAGTCCAGCCATGTCCACGCAGCTGTATTGCCTGAATGAGTTGAGGCTTAAAGCCACAGTCATCAAGCCAGAGCACTGTTCTCCAACTTATTTTGTGCTTGGGTCCAGTTCTAACTTTTTCTGTTTTCTGCCTCCTCCCCTTCAGCAATCTGTTTGTCAGTGTGCAGAGGTCCTCGCATGCAGCATGTTGCTCTGTAAGAATAGCTGTGTGCTGATTGAACAATGAAATTAAAAGGGGAGTAAAACAGGACATGTCTTAAAACCGTGCAGAGGGAGATGTTTTAAGCAAGCAGCAGATTTTCAGGGTCAAGTGACAGAGTATTTGCCCTCAGAAACTCAAGGTGGATCACTGAGGTCCATTGCACGAGCATCAGTCTGAGCAAGACATAGCATAAGCATTTGTTTAGGGATGGCAGTTAGCAGCCTATAAGAAAACATTTCAGAATCGCTTCTTGTTAACATCCATTGGTGGAAATTAATTGACATTCCATCACTGAACCTGTCAGGTTAGTGATTTTGTTAAAGGACACATTGACATTTAGGTGGTATAACACAAGAATAAAATTTTTGATTCCTTGAGCCAATTTGGTACCCTTACTGAATCTTCATTTTCTTTTTCTTCTGGAAATGGCTCTAATTATGGAATGTACTGTCTTTTCATTACCAATAATGTTCATATACCACTTTAAAAAAGAAGAATGAACTAAACTGAAATAATGGAGATCAAGGTATGACAAATGGATTCCTAGGCCCTGTTAACTCATTATACATTTTTTGGTTCTCTCCCCACAAGCTTATAAGCAAACAGAGTCCCAGCAATGCAAGGGCATCATCTTGCTGAAGTTGCCATTGAATTCTCAGAATGCAAACAATGCCCTAGTTAGGTTCCCCTTCTTCGCTCTGAGACATAAAAATTCACCCTACTGTATGGGGTTGCAGATTGAGCAGTGGCTTCAGGTTTGAAGCTTGCATCTTAATATGGCTCTATGGAGAGCTTTAATATTTCTCATGTACAGATGCCTTCATGTGACGTGGTGCATACGTAAGCACCACAGTACGATATTGTGCTTATGCGGTTTGGTACCGGCTGCACATGCATATTCCTTCTACAAGAGGGAAAAGCTGAGCTATTTGCGATGCCTTGACAAAGGCGTGTTAACGCAGTGCAGCCTGCAAGTCCACCAGTCCAGGGGGGTGGGAGGAGAGTGTGTCTCTAGCAAGGTAGCTATAATTCACTATCTCAGTGGTCTTTTGAGGGCAATTGCTGGTTGCAGGTGGGCAGCAAGTTCCAAAAGCTGGTGTGATTTGCATGTAATCTGGGAGGATCAGAATTAGTGCAAAGTACTAAGGCTGAAGATAACATTGCTGCTCTCCTTTGCTGTTCTATAATAAATTGAATATGAATAGTTCCCCCCCACCCTTGGGCTTAGAGAGACATTTGTCGTGACTGGGCTATATGTCCATTCACACCTCACTAGCCAATGCCGTTCATAATATGTGCCGCATCTCACACAACTAACACAATAATGAGCTGGTCCTTATTTCCTCAAGTGGGCCGCAAGGACAGCTGTGTTGACAACCGGAGGGGGTTAGCTGTAGGGATGGTAGGAAGGGGCTAGCCTGTGGTGGCCCCCATGTTGCTGGGGCCCTGTCAGCCGTAGCCAGCACTGTCCGAGGCTCTGGGTGTTGTAGTCCGATAATGTACAGAGTGCCACAGCTGAATGGCCCCAGGCTTAGGGTAAGAAAGCAGCCCCTTGGCCTTTTACTGGAGTTCAGCCCCCTCGGCTTGCAATGCAGCTTCAAGCCCAGGAGCGGGTCAGCTGGGAGCTTCTGCACAATGCATCTTGTGCAGAAGAGGTTCCTGATGGATGGTGTCCAGGCTAATTTTCATACTAATAGCAGGTTGTCGATTGCAACAGAGCGTAATTGGATCTTGGTGTGGAATCAGAAATCCTTGTTATGTCCCGCATTTCGCCACTTCCTACGGAAAGCCAATTCATAATAATGTTAAATGAGGTCTATCCCCTTGGCTCTGTGCTCACGGGCTTGTTGCTTGCTTACATCATTAGTATTATAATTGTACTTAGCTTCCTATCACCGGCAGCGCAGCGTCCGCACCACTCTTCAAGCGGCCTGTGTGTTCACGTACGCACACTTCAGCGGCGCTTTCATTAGCTCTTGCGTTGCTCAGATGGTGTTTGCTCAGAAAGCCAGCCTAAACCTTTTGTTATGGGAATAAAGCAGTGTTGGCACTTTATCCCTAAGCATAACATTTCCAGTCTGCTACTTTAACCCTTAAAAATGAACCGCCACCAATCAATCTTTCTCGTCTGCATGGAGTTGCCTACAGCTAAAATGAAGCGCTCTCTTTCTCTCTCCTTCTCTCAGCCTCTTACAGTATAAACGAGTTAATATATTGGCAGCAGAATAACCATCAGCAATCAGCCTGTAGCTGTTTACTAATGAACTCCCAGATGAATGGCGGGTTGGTGGTAGTGGGGGGAAGTGGAATTTGGGATTCTTGTTTCACTCCAGGCTGTACAAGAACTTAATGCTTCAGTTGTGGAAGAAAAGCAACTTGGATGCCATATAAATAAATGCTACTTGCTCATGGCTCAAAATGCAGATCATGGAGGACCTGGAGCTACAGCACAGATCAAAAGTAATGGATGAACTTGTGAGATGGAAAATCATGTAAAGGTTCCTTTTGTCTGTATGTGCCTGAAACTTTTTAAAATTTGTTGCTTTAAATCCCATTTATTAGAACCTTTTGAAAATGGGTGTGAGGTGTTTCAGGTCTCACCAGGTAGAGCTACTTTAATTTATATACTGGATATTTCGTTGTCTGAGGAAGATAATTTTTCTTTAGGAAAGGATTTTAAAACAGCAGAAAAATATGCCAAACTTGATATTGGTTGTGGTTTCAAAACTGATATTTATGCAGGTTTATTACACTGAAATTTATGCAAGTTGCTAATTAAGGAGTTAGGTTAACGTTGTTGTTTTTTCTGAAATTTGTGTGGTTGAAATATTTTTATGTGGAGAAAAATTGTGCAGACTTACAGATTTGGGACATGCAGTGCTTCAAACAGTTTGAATATCAGAATTTCGTATTATAGTTAAAAAAGGTAGATTTTGTTCAGAAATTGAACTGTATGATTTATTTGGAAATTAATTCTGTTTACACTGATAGTACTAATGCCAACTCACTATAAGTTGAATCTGCATTCTTGAAAGTGTTTTTTTTTTAAGGGGATTGAAGCAATATTCATTATGTTGTAAATATATCTACCTAAATATTAAAATAAGAGCCTTGGTTGGATCAAAGCATTACATTTATCTGCATGTGCATTTGGGTTTGATTTTGCCTAAACTGGACATCACACTTCAAAACAGAGCAAGCAGCAGGACAAGCTCTGTAAACTCAGCTCTGTAGTTTTTGCTAGGGTATGCAATTTGGATAAACATTGTTGTCCTTTGAGATTTAACTTTTTTGTGGGGGCAGTTTTCTTGCAACACATGTTAATATAAGCTGTAATGTCGACATTAAACCACAGTTTTGGTTAAAGTTAAAGCCTTGTTAAGGTCTGTGCTTTTCTTTTTCTTTTCCCCGTAACCTCCAGGCTTCAGCAGACAAATAGTAGAGATTCTTAACAAACATAACATTGCGTATAGCAGCTTCGATATATTTTCTGATGAAGAAGTACGTCAGGGCCTGAAAACCTACTCCAGCTGGCCTACTTACCCACAGTTATATGTAGCTGGGGAACTTATAGGCGGGCTGGACATTGTTAAGGTAAGAAAACAAAATATCTGCATTTTCAGTAACGTAATTTTAAAATAGTGTTTGGTTTATGAATTTGAAATAATTTTCTTTTCAGGAGCTTGAGGCTTCTGGAGAGCTGGAGACAACCTGTCCAAAGGCACATAAAATAGAAGACAGGTATGATACATTTTACCTTTTAAAAAAAAAATATTGCGAAGGAAAATCACATATTCCATTAATGATCTCTCCGTTAAAATTATTGCTGTGTAGGATTACTGTGTGTAGTACACAGAATTCTGTGCCTTATGGTTTTCATTCACCTTCATTTTCCTTGCCCATCTGCTGCACAACAGCCCTGTAGAGCTGCCAGCCAGATCTTGCTACCTGATATTTGCTGCCACCTCACCTTTTTTTGGGTCACCTTCAGCCCCAAAAGTAAAGGGGTAAAACTGGGGATATTTTATTTTTTGTTAAATTGTCTCATCCTGTACCAGCATGCCTCTCACCTCCAGCCAATCCCTTGCAATTTACACAGAGTGCAATCCAGCCCTCTGCTTCTCCCCAAGAATAGGGCAAATTCCTGACTTTGTCCAAACTGGTCTTAGACTTTCAATAATTTGCAACCCAAAGTGATCTAGATGTGTGGGGATTCCTGAATCCCAACGGTGGCAATTGCACACTGATTCCACTAGTCTAGTTGTGAAACTTGGATAGAAATAAAACGTTGGGAGGAAAGCAGGCAACAGGTCAAGCAGAATACACAATAACCTTGTTGGGGACTCGGAAACTACAACTAATCCAGCCTATGTCTGCTAGACTGGTGACTGGGAGTGGCCTCCGGGACTGTTTAACATTGGTTCCCACTACATTGGCTCCCAGTACGTTTCTAAGCACAATTCAAAGTGTTGGTGCTGACCTTTAAAGCCCAAACGGCCTCGGCCCTGTGTACCTGAAGGAGCATCTCCACCCCCATCGTTCTGCCCAGACACTTAGGTCCAGCTCTGAAGGCCTTCTGGTGGCTCCCTCACTGTGAAACGTGAAGTTACAGGGAACCAGGCAGAGGGCCTTCTCGGTAGTGGCACCCGCCCTGTGGAACAACCCTTCCATCAGATGTCAAGGATATAAGTAACTATACAACCTTTAGAAGACATCTGAAGGCAGCCCTGGGAAGGGAAGTTTTTAATGTTTGATGTTTTATTGTGGCGCAACACAGTCAGAGGGGGAGCCAATAATGATAATGATAGTGATAATCATAACAATGACTGTTACAATTATTACGATTATTATTAACCGGAGCACTGTGGCTCTTAAACCAGACAATTTTTTAGGCTAAATTCCTCTTTCGCCTTTTTTTACCCAGGTAAAAAATCCTTTAAGACTGTTCTACTTTATCTGTATTTCCCCCTGCCTCTTGTTTTAGGCTTAAAGACCTGATAAACAAAGCTTCTGTGATGCTCTTTATGAAAGGAAATAAGCAGGTAAGGCTCTTGGAAATGCTTTTAGCACTTAAAATCCTTTAGACCAGCTGTCCGCAGCCTAGTAGCATCCAGATGTTTTGGAGTATAGCTCCTATAAACCCCAGCCAGTGTAGCCAGTAGTTGGGGATGATGGGAGCTGTCATTTTAAAACATCTGGAGTGCACCTGGCTGTGAAAGATCATAAACGTAAGAACACAAGTTGAGCCCTGCTGGATTGGAAGACGTTTCATCTAGTCCAGCATTCTGTTCTCAAGGCGGCCAACCAGACGCCTGTTCAGAACCATACTCCCTCTGATAATGGAGGTAATGTAGTGATCATATGTGGGTGCCGTGGGTTTTTCATCTCTACACAGCAAGCCGACAGCTGCTGCAAGTAGGGAATGAAGAAAATACTTAATTTCATGCCTTCAGCACGGCTTTCTAGAGCAATTTCTAGAGCACGAAAACATAGAAGGTTTTAAAAAAGGATATGTTTTAACAGCATGTTAAAATAATACATTAAAGGCTTAGGAGCCATAAAGATACCTTTGCCTGGGGCTGAAATGATAACAGTGTTGGCACCAGGTTCCACCAATGGGGTGCCACAACAGAACAATCTCTTTTTCCTCTTCTCCTGACACCTTAGCTCAGAGGGTAGAATGGGACAGTTCACTTCTAACTTCCCTGCGTGGTCATATATAGATGTGTACATGGGTATACAACCACAGTCCGTGTGAACCATGAGGGACACTGGCAACTGCGTCGTCATTGTGACAGCTGCAAAAAGCGCAGCCCTAATTATGCAATATGAGGAATGGGTTGCTATGGGAAATTTTTGCTCGAGCAGATGTTGATGGCAAATATAATTCATTCCCTGAGAATTCCTAAGGAGCTGGTAAAGTAGCCACATGTTTCAGTTTCTGATGATGAAGTGCAGGGGTGTGGAACCCCTTATTTATATCCCACCTTTTTCTTCAAGGCTTTCAAGGTGGTGTACATGATTATCCATTTAATCCCCACAACAACCCGGTGAAGCAGGGTAGGCTGAGAGGCGGTGACTGGCCCAAAGTCATGGCCAAGTGGGGATGTGAACCCTGGTCTCCCAGGGACCTCAGTTTCCATTACCTCCATCCAGCATGGCCAGCAATCAGCACAGTACAACATCTTGAGAGCCACAAGGTTCCTCATCCTTGGTGTAGCGAAGGTGGAAAAAAATAAAAATGTGTATAAATGTGCTTCAAACACTTACTTGGGATTGCCACATGCCACATGCATGCACTGGAACATAATGCACGTCAGAGTTGTTTTTTTTCTTATTGCAGATGGCGAAGTGTGGATTCAGCAAGCAAATTCTAGAAATTCTAAACGGTACCGGGTATGTAAATATTTTTCTGCCTTGAATCTGTTCTTAAAGTAAGAGCACAGATATATAGGAACAGCGCTGCTAGATCGGACGAAAGGGCCGTCTCTTCCAGCATTCTCTTCTCTCAGTGGTCAACCAGAAACCTATGAAAAGTCCACAAGCAGCACCTCAGCACATCAGCAGTCTCCATTCGCAACAATCAGTATTCAGTGGCACAGTGTTTCTGATACTGGAGGTACTACCCCAGCCACCAAGACACATCCATAACCCCTTTTTAAACCATCCAAGCTGGTGGCTATTACTACAATATTGTAATAGCAAATGTCGTAGCACTGTGTGAGGAAATGCTTCCTTTTGCCTGAGAGGTGCTACCTTGGCTGCTTTGCAGTGTGCCTCTAAAGAAGCTGATCTTAGGAACATGTTGCATGTTAGTGTTAGGTGATCAGGGTCTCCCTTTGGTTCACCTCTAGCCTTCCCCTCAGCTCCCCCCCCAAAACACCTGTGCAAATGGTGGAACTGACCTATGTCATAGAACCATAAAATAATAGAATTGTAGGGTTGGAAGGGACCACGAGGGTCATCTAATGCAGGAATCTTTCCCCCAACATGGGGCTCAAAACCACGACCTTGAGATTAAGAGTCTCGTGCTCTACCAACTGAGCTATTCCTTGCTCAGTTAACTTCCATTTGCATAAATGGATTGGCCTGTATAGATTATCTGCTAGTCTTCAGTAAATATTTCTCTCTTTTATTAGGATATTTCACCAAATATATAGTATATTTTTCCTCTTCCCACCCTGTCCCCTTTCCCTTGCGTGTCGTTTTTCTTTAAAATTGTGAGTGTTGTGGGCAGGGACTGTCTTGTTTTAATTGATTGTAATGTAAGCCACTCTGAGAGCTTTTTTTGGCCGAAGAGTGGGCTACAAATTCTCTAAATAAACAAATATATCACTACAGTATTGCAACGTTTTGCATTTTACTCTTGAAATACAGTCGCTGGGATCACTTTTACACTGATAAATAAGCGATAGAAATTAGCGTAGCTGAGTGAATATTCCTAGCCTGTATAATAAAACCCTTTTTTATATTATTCTTTTTTCTTTTTTTTAGTGTTGATTATGAAACGTTTGATATATTGGAGGATGAAGAGGTACGTTGTTTGCTTGCGCTTTTCCTGTCATCATCTTTAAAAACTGCACCATGGAAGGCTGACCAAGCATTTATTCTCTTTAGGTGCGGCAAGGATTAAAAAAGTATTCAAACTGGCCAACCTACCCCCAGTTGTATGTGAAAGGGGAACTCGTCGGAGGCCTGGATATTGTGAAGGTAAGCAAAGACCTAATAGTTGGCAGGTGCGTGTAATCTTCATTCTTAAAAAAAGGTCTTCCTAAATTTTGTTCTTATTTATATTGGACATGTTTTTATTGTTAGTCGCTCTTCGAACTGGTGGTGTTTCCTTCTTACATCCCTAAACAGCAAACACCATCACTTTGAAGAGTCATTAGCCAATAAAAACATGTCTTGGTCCAGGATACCCAAAGAACCATCAATTTCCATATCAGCTTACCTGCTCCTTTCTCTTGTGTCGTAGCTGTGGCTGAGCCTTGGTCAGTTGGGTTGAGATCACAGCCATAACTAGTTGCACCCAGAACATAAGGAGAGGCCTGATGGATCAAGCCAACGGCCCATCTATCCCATCATCCTGTTCTGACTGTGGCTAACCAGATGCCAGTGAGAAGCCCTCATCAGAACCTCACTGCAGCAGCACTTGCCCCACCTGAGATTCCCATCAACTAATATTCAGATGCATGCTGTCTCTGACAATGGATGTAAAGAGACAGTCCACTGTGGCTAGCAGCCATTCATTATCTTGCTCTGTGAGATCGGTTGAACCCCACCGTCCCCCTATTTTTATTGCCGGCAGGTCAAAAAAGCATTTTTATTCTGGCAAACATTTAACCTGCCTTGGTTGGTGCCTTTTTTACATCCTTTAGAAACAATCCTAGTTGTTCAGAGGTTTTAACACAGCAGCCATAAATGCTATGTGATTTTTTATTATTGTTGTAAGGTGCCCTACACAATGCAAACCCATCGGAAGGGCAGCGTTTAAATTTCCAAAGTAAATCTCTCTATTGTTATGCATTCCTCCCTGCCCAGCTACCTCTAGACTGATCTATCTCTGCGTTTTCTCTGCATTTTGAGTTTTCTTATTCCTTGTTTGAGCATCTCTCCCCTTTGTTCAGCCGTGGTGAGATGACACACATCCACACACACCCCTTTTTCTGATCCTTTTTTTTGTTTTGAGACTGAGTGACTTAGTTGGTTTTTCCTGTGACTCTCATCATTAGCTTAACATATTGGTGAAAGGAGCCCTAAATCTCCAGTGTGCAACTAGGTTGCCTGCTAGTGTAGCACTGAAATGTATTTTCTTGACAGCAGTCACTTACCTTCCTGTAAGAACCATTTCGCCCCTGTGGGTGCATTTACAGCTTTTCATTTGGTTCTCAGTTTAGTTTTTTGACGTTGTGTTTTCTTGAGTAAGGTGATGACATTTTGCCTAGCAAACTGTCTCTCATTCCTGAGAAAAGGTAAGGCTTTATTGTGTGCTTTCTTGAAAAGGCCCTAAGCAACAGAAATAGATCTGCATTTGTTAACGGCATCTTCTGATATATATTTGTGTGTGTGTGCAACAGAACAAGCGCAGGCTTCTAAGCCCAAATACTCTTGAGCCTATTCTTGTCTTGAGTGTTTTATAGCCAATACCATAGGCACTGTAACTCCCGGGAAGACAGAATCAATAAATCTCATTAGGTTTTAAAAATAAGTTGGTATTACGTTGCTCATGTATCCATTTTTTTAAAAAAAAAACCCCACACATTTATTTCTCGGAGTAGTGCATTAAAGGGTTCTTTTTATATAGTTTTTAAAGAGGTGGGGAAATTAGTCATGTTAATCTGCCTTTTTAGAGGGCACTGAATAAATTGAAGTTGACAAAATGTTGTTTAAAGTTAAGTTTAGTTATTTTAGATGTTTTTCTAGGTCAGCATCATTCTCTCATTCCCCCCCCCCAAAAAAAACCTGTTAATAAAAAGTACATAAAGAAATCTATTTTATTATGCCCAGTTAAAGAACATATTTTTAATCTGTTAACCTGCCCAAGCTTTTTCTGTTGATCTTACTAAGATTATATTTTTTATTTTTTATTTCTGGTATTTGCCTGCCGAATAATAGATCTAAGTCCCCCCAAAAACTTCTTAGTAAGAAGAATACCAAAAAAAATCATAAAAACATTTGAAACATAAAAGTTCTGGTAGACAAAGGCCTAAAACCAAATTCTCAGTATAATTTAAGATACACTATATGGGCAGTGGAATAAAAGTTGAGATTTTAAGATGACAGCTTCTAAAAGACTGGGAGAATAAATTGCTCATTTTAAACATTTTATTGGTGTTATATGTTAATAATCATCATCTATTGGACTTGTTAGTCCGTTGTTACCCAGAGGCCTCCAAGTAACAACATATTTGAAAACATTAATAAATAAATAAATTTATGGTATAATATATTTATACTAAATTTATATACCATAAACACAGAACGGGACGCGGGTGGCGCTGTGGGTAAAACCTCAGCGCCTAGGACTTGCCGATCGTCAGGTCGGCGGTTCGAATCCCCGCGGCGGGGTGCGCTCCCGTTGCTCGGTCCCAGCGCCTGCCAACCTAGCAGTTCGAAAGCACCCCCGGGTGCACGTAGATAAATAGGGACCGCTTACTAGCGGGAAGGTAAACGGCGTTCCGTGTGCTGCGCTGGCTCGCCAGGTGCAGCTTGTCACGCTGGCCACGTGACCCGGAAGTGTCTCCGGACAGCGCTGGCCCCTGGCCTCTTGAGTGAGATGGGCGCACAACCCTAGAGTCTGTCAAGACTGGCCCGTACGGGCAGGGGTACCTTTACCTTTACCTAAACACAGAACAACCACCATGACAAACCAACCATAATGATGGTTTTATATATATTTATTTTTAATTAGCTGGTGTGTTTTAGTCATATTTTACATATAAGTGGACTTGCACACCACATGGAGAATTTTCTTTGAGCAACTGGTCTAAAAAATCCTAAAGCAAAATAAAGAAAAAGCCATTTACCTGGAACCAAAAAGACCATAAAGAAGGCAGCAGGTGAGCTTTTCTTGGGAGGCTATTTCTCGGGGGGGGGGGGGCTCTGCTTCACTTCACTTGGTGGTGCATTCTGAGAAGGGGCTCCTAAAGAGGAGAAGGTGATCTCTCAGGTAACCTGGTCCAAAGGAATGGCGACACTTTGCTTTTTCAAAGCATAGCTAAGACCAAAACTGTTTGCTTCACTCTTCCCTCCCCAATTCCCAGCAGTAGAAATACCTAAAACAATGATGGCATCCTGCTTGTTCTGTTTTGCTAAATGCCACGAGGAAGAGGCATTGGGCCAATACTTTTGGTGGCAGCCATTCCTTGGCACTGTGCAACCTTGGATTAACATGGTGTGCTTTCCATGTTGAGAAAGATAACAAATCTCTCCCTGCTTATCACGCTTGCCCAGATTCTAGAGAGCACGTTAAGAGAGAGGATGTATACTGAGCAAAGCCTCATTCTAGAGCTAGCTAAAGCTTACAGAGATGCCCTTCTGCCATGCGCTTGCCCTGTGGTCCGTCTATCAGACAGCTGACACCTGCCTCATCTGCTACGCCTGCCCCATTCTAAGGAGTCTGCAGGGGTGACTGCTCACTGCTGCAGCTGGGGCAACTGTAATTATCTTCTGCAGTCTCTTCTCTGGTCTCCTGGCTTCTACCAGAGAGATGGTTACCAGTTGTGGGACTGGTAGGTCCATAGATGACCAACTTCTAAAGCAACAGAAGTTTTTGGGTATCTCACTGTCCTCTTGTTAGATATGCAGTAATGTAGCTGCATGCAAAACAACAAAATCACTTGATTAGGGGTAATGGGAGTTGGAGTCTTGAGGGCATCAGGTTGAGGAAAGCTGAATTACAGGCTAACTAGAGTTCTTTTGGTGACACCAGCCTCTGAATGCTTCCTCCCCTTTTTTCTGTTTCCAGGAACTAAAAGAAACTGGTGAATTGACTTCTACCCTGAAAGGAGAAAATTAATGCATCACAAGGACACGTTAATGAAGACCAATGAAATATAAAATGTATGATTGTTCGTTGCACTGGAACAATTCACGATTTGCCGGAAGGAATAGAATGCCGGTTTCTGATTTCCTGCTCATGCTTCGCAAGGCCATACTACAGGTGTATGTAATTGTAGGTTTTCACCCTAAATGTAAAGTCGTAAGCATCTTCAAATTGAATTAAAGTTGGAAGCCAACAATGCCTGTGATGTTCTTGCATACTTTTCATTTTTCCTCCTGCACACAAAATTGTTCAGCATTTGTAAAATACTTGTGGACCTCACTCACGTCGCCTGTGGCTCATTGATCCTTTCTGTTGGGCTCAGAGTATCCTGGGATTTTTGAACCCACACTTGGATTCAGAAACCAGCCTCAGAAGAAGCTGCTATCCAGCATGCTGTTGTTTGAGCTGCATCTTTTTGGACCTTCTTCAAATAAGTGGCAGCAAATAGAGCAGGAGTGGGGAGCACCTATGGCCCTACAGATGTTGCCGAACTAGCAACTTTCATCAGCCCCATTCAGCATGACCAGAGGCCATGGATGATGGGAGTTGTAGTCTGGCAACAGCTGGGAGGTTACACATTCCCCACTCGAGATAGAGCATTGGCATAGGAACCAGTTCAAGGAGGTTAACCTGGGAAGATTATGAGATGAAGTAGATTGTATTGCCCACCACAGCAGTTGATGGATTCTTCCTGAAGCAATGGACTAAGGCAGGACTAGCTAATCTAGTGCCCTTCAGATGATGCTGGGCTGCAACACACATCCTCCCTTAGCATTGGCCATATTGCCTAGGGCCTCTTACTAGCCAAGGAATGTACACGGCTGATAGTTAACTCTTTATTCTCAAAGATAACAGTGTTTCTACAGCTCTGGATACCAATCTTGTGTCTAGGCAGCTATTCCCAGGTTGGTATTGTATGCAGCAATTGCCACTCCTCCACCAGTTTAGGTACCTCTCATTGAAGCGCTGCACACATGCAGCCGGAGATTACGCCCATGTGGCAACTTCCACTGCTCATCCCTTTTCAGTCCCCTCCTGGTTCTGGGAGACAGTGGTGCAAGAGAAGCTGGGGAAGCACATGGCCCTTCACTACGGTAATTTGGCTCTTCCTTTTCTTCTGACCCATTCTGTGCTCCACCCTCCACCTTTGAAGCGTCCCCTGCCTTTGGTTCATGCCTCCTGGCTAGTACAGTTCCCCACAAATCACTGACTCGCTCTCCAGAGTCAAGACTCCAGCCCTTCTTCCCCAGTGCACACTTGTCAGCGTCCTGCCAGTCCCTGACACTATAATCTATCTCCCTTCTCCTCTTACCTCCATGGAGTTCCTCAAATGCAATCTCTCATTCTGCTACACCCACAGAGAATGCCCTCCCCTGGGCCACACCCAAGCTTTAGAGAATGGTGCAACGACAAAGAGGTCCCCTCTCTGCTGATGTTAACACCCTTGAGGGTCTGTAGGGAAGAAGGTGGTCTGGAGTATTTGCAGCCAAAGTCATTTAATGCTTTAAACATTAGCATGGGCACCTTTAATTAGGCCTGGAAATGAACTGGCAACTAGGGCAGGTGTTTTAAAATGGGTTATGTGAGTTTTGAATGGAATCCCAGTCAATAATCTGACTGTTGGATAAGACATCTGTCTCTGCAGTCATAATAACCTGGAAACTACTGTTGTCATGGTAGTCAATTAAAACATAAATAAATCCAAAAGCCACAGTTGAGTAATAATCTTTTATTAAGATCAGGTAAATTGCCACAAAACAGTTAATGCTGACAGTGTGAGTGCTGGTGCAATTCCAAACTCTGTAACCACCTCTCTAGCTGCTTGAATACTTACTGATGGTCAATTAATGATCATCACCAAATCTGGGCAAGCCCCTCTAAAAGCAAAGGTGGTCCAAGCATTGTTAGAAGTGTGGGTATCAGATTTATCATGCTAAGTACAGGGAAGCACACTGTGGCAATGACTATGCTGCTAATTCAGCCTTCCCCAATCTGGGTAATTTGGATTCCATCTCCCATCAGCTAGCTCAGCAAGTCAGTGATAATTGGAGTCAAATTCCAAAACATCTAGATGGCAAACTGTCAGGGAAACCTGCCTTAAAGAGATATGTGTGACCTCCAGCTAATGGCTGAAGAGACTTTTTTTTAAAAAAAGTGAGGGGTAAAAGTCTTGCATCCAAGAACAGCAAGGACTCAAGTCTTTACCCCTGTCCCCACCAAACTCAGGGTTGTTTTTTTTTGGGGGGGGTTCATACTGACAAATCTTTCCCCCCAAAATTTATTCCGTGCTTCAGTCTGAGACCTCATTCATCTACTCTAGCAGTTTCCCCATAAAAGCTGTCTTCCTTTTCCTACAAGCACACAGAAACCTTACAGGATATTCATTGCATTACATATTCTTGAATGCAAGTGTGAGCCATCTTCTTTTAAGCTTTCTTGTTTACAAGATGGTCTTAAATTTTATACTGATTTATTTGTAAAACGCTGGACAAGATATAGGTGCCTGTCTTTCTGGCGTAATAAGTAAAGCACAACACAGACGCTATACAGATGGGGAAAAAGTCTCTGTGGTGGGGGCTGTCAGGTTGAGACAATGCCTGAACAGGTCTCAAAGCTCAGGCACAACATAGACATTATAATTAAGCAAAACCAAGAAGCAGGGTGAAATTTACCTATAAATATTGCAGAGCTGGAAAAAGTTTGTGTGTATGTGTGCCTAAAATATTGAATGTTTTAAAAAACCAAATGAGCCTCCCATATAGAAATAATAGGAGCTAACTGGCGCTGTGGGTTAAACCACAGAGCCTAGGACTTGCAGATCAGAAGGTCGGCGGTTCGAATCACCGTGACAGGGTGAGCTCCCGTTGCTCGGTCCCTGCTCCTGCCAACCTAGCAGTTCGAAAGCACGTCAAAGTGCAAGTAGATAAATAGGTACCGCTCCGGCAGGAAGGTAAACGGCGTTTCTGTGCGCTGCTCTGGTTCACCAGAAGCGGCTTAGTCATGCTGGCCACATGACCCAGAAGCTGTATGCCGGCTCCCTTGGCCAATAAAGCGACATGAGCGCTGCAACCCCAGAGAGGTTACGACTGGACCTAATGGTCAGGGGTCCCTTTACCTTTACCTATAAAGTGTCATACTGAGAAACCGCACATTTTATTATTATTCTATGATACAAAAATAGATGAATTCTGGAATTTCAGTGCACTCATCAGATGTTATGTGATTATTTTCTAGTATTTGTCCCCCCTACAGATATATACTGCAGACCTCAAGGGGTGCAGTGCTGACTTTTGAGAGAAACAGTTTTATACAGATTAGTCTTTGCTATTTCTTATAAATTTCTGATAACATTTTACTTTTATTTTATACTTGGAAGAACTATATCATTTCTACAAGACATCTGCTTTTGAAAATTGAAGTTAGCAATTTTTGGGGGCAGGTACAAGTCGTTAGCCTTGTCTAGGGTGCAAAATAACCTGGCACTAGCACTGACTTCATTGAATCAGTACTACACCTGTAAGTCTTATCTGTTAACAAACTCAGTTCTCTCTAGCCTAATTTTTCTTATATCCTTTTTTTGGATTGGTAATCATTTTTATAAGCACAACTGCTTTACTTTGAAAGTATTTGCTGGCCAGCATGTCTGCTGTGCTTCCACAAGAGGGTGCTGCATACCAGCATTCTAGAGAGAGCATCACAAACCACATGCATGCAAAGATGTGTTTTGCCACACGATGTCAGCATAGGACTGTTTGTGCCCCAAATGCGGTTCTTCTGTGTGTGCTATAGGTAAGATCAAGTATTTCTGAATTAAAGTGTGAGGTCTTCATTTGCTATGACCATAACAGCATTTGACTAGGAGAAAAGCTAATGCAAAAAAAAAAAGGAAGGGGATGCTAATTGAGAAAATGCATGCTTGGAGGAGAGATCTCTTTCACATTAGCCATTTCCTCCAGGATGTATCATGCATTTGCTCATATTTTCCAGGAGAGCCATAGGATGTCGCTGCCATCCCACTGCATCTCAAGGTTTCCCTTGCCATCCTCCCAGCTTTGTTTAAGACTGCGTTTGTGCTGAATTTTTTTTTTTTGACTGGCTTTTCTTTTATGTGTGCTTGATATTTTATAAATTTTATGAAAGGATAAAATGCTCAAACATTTGCCGCTTTGTATTTTTAAATTAAAAAACACAGATCAGTGAGGCAGCTGTCACTCTTGCAAAGCCCAGTCACACTACCATAGATAACCTGGCCCCTTTCAGAAAGGTTAAAATTCTCTTTGGGAGCAATGCTGAATATAAACAGCTGCTGAGTGGGATTTTAACCTGCATTGGTGGTTTGTACCTCTGCCATTACACCTGTTAAGTACCGGTATTCCTTCTCCTGTTCCTTTTTAGCAGCTGGCAACTGTCTTCCTCCTCCTCTACCTGATTCTCAGTTTGTGTTTGGACTGAAATGCAAGTTATTGCAATGTGATTGTTCCATAAATGCTAATATTTGCCTTGATTAATTTTAGGGAAATTAGGGAAAATTAATAGGTGCCACTGTTACCGTACTGGCCTGAATATAAGCCTCACTTTCCCCCCAAATTCTGACCGTTGGCAAAACAGCACCCCCCCAATATGCAGCCAGCAGCAGCGAGGAAGGGTGCGGCTTATATTCAGGTTTTGTTCCTCCCCCCCCTCCAATTTTAAAGGTTCGACTTATGTTCAGGCCAATATGGTATCTTGCTTGTGCAGAGGAACAAGCAAGAGTCACGCTAGTTGTTATGGTTAGAATACTTACTTACACAGAATACCTGGTAGTGAGTAAAATAGCTTTTGTGGCTTGGAAGCACCCATAATGCAGTGCTACAGAATGGAAAAGGTGGTTAGTTCAGTACAAGGCAAAACATAGGTCACCTCCAACTCACTTTGCCTGGACCAAAAGCTTAATTATGGAGATAGCAGGGAATTCCCTTGTGTGGCAGTTGGAGGTGGATGTTTAGAAACCCTACAGAACTGTATGGAGATAACCAAGACAGTGAAAAGTTCATATACGCAAATAGAAATAGTCTAGATCTCGCAAGAGCTGTAGGTGAGCAGATCTGTGAAGTATAAAAGGTCATAAGAAATGAGAGAGATGAGATCCAATAGTTCTCTGTCCTGGAATACAGAGATGCTGAACTGGGTTTTCTGGGGAAATCACAATGACTGAGCAG